CGAGCGACTCTGACGGAAACCGTGCTAACAATCACATGTTCATGATAGAAATTAGTTTAGTAAGCATATTAATATTGTAGTGTGATACACTCGTGTGCGAGGGCTGAATTTTAAATGTTTTTTGTTTAGCATAGTTATTGATTAAGTAACCTAGTTAAAAGCGAAACTCTAATACTATATTACGTACATTAAATTCATTCCAAGTAACAAGTAAGTACCATTTTAATAACAGGTTATTCAATCTGAAATCTGTTAAGTGTTTGAATTTCAGATAGAAGCATTCGGATTTCAATGAGCTAGGTGGGTGGGGGCAACTCGAGGAAACTTCTTTTTAAACGTTCCCTGAAGAATTCCAAGTCTCTCGTAAACAAGTGGAACTTCATTCACACTCAGACAACACGGGAGACACGTCTCTAAAAATAGACACGACGCACACTGTGAATCAGCTGTTGCAAGTGCATTATGACGTCAAGTCCACGACACCACAATATCCTCTAAGTAAAGCCTTATTTTGAAATAAAAAAAATGATATTTCTTTAAATGATTGGGTTGAATTCTTTTATTTGTGAACTTTACTTGACAGTTGGCGTGTGGCGTAGGCGAAGCTGCTCCCCGCCGCTACCGGTGCGGTGCTAAGATCTTAAATGCATCTATGAAGGTAGTGGCATCAATTACCGACAAGAACCATTGATCGTATTTTTTCTGCGATCAATGAAAATAAGAGTAGGTAACCGATTACTAGATATGGTGATACCGAGCGTCTACAGCTCTATAGCGGTCATTGGTTGTGCCTCTACCTTACCATATTATGTAGAGCGCCAATGCCCATTACGCGAAGTATATTCCTTTACGGCATCACCTTAAATTTTGAAAAATAATCCTTGTTGCTACCGGCACCGAAGGGTACGACGGTAATGACCACATTTTATAAAAAAAAATCTAGTTATACCGCTCTCTATAATATAGGTGTCGTCCAAAGCGAGCTACGGGCAGAAATGTCAATTGGATTGGAATCATGGCATCATTAAGTAATCTTTTACTAATGCAATAATAATCCTTTAGTATTTTAACAATGATATAACAGTAATTAAGATAAAGATATTCAATAGCATAAATCTGCGAAAGCGAAGAAGAAACTCTCTGACAATCAAACTTCTAGCAAAGTTGTACTTTAAGATAAAACTCAGTTAAAAATACGTCTCCAGAACAGAGCAACTGTTTTCCATAAATAGATACGGATTTTTGTCAGACAGATAAAAGTTATACGGAATCGTAATTCGTTTTCTGTAGCAAATCTCATTTTCCTGCAGTAGTAGGTTACGCAGTGTCTCCAAATGGGTTTGTTTGTTTGTTTGTTCTTTCAACACAAAAACGAAATATTCTTCTTTAATAACAATTCTTTTTATCTCGTTCGGTGGGTCGTCTACAATATAATTATTTTCAGGTATTTAGCCTAGCGTAACAATTTCATATTTCCATAACCTAAGGAATAAAGTATTTTGTTGCTATTTTGTGCTGCAAGAATTGATTTTGTTGCTCCAATATTTCTCCGAAAAACGCCTGCTACGCTAGCGTATCTATCTGTCAGCAAAAAATTACACCGTTTGTCTCGTGCCGCTAGCTGCTTTAGTTCACGAGATACGAAAAATCTGAGGAATACTAAGAATAAGGGTAGTTAGCTGCCCATGAAGGGCTGATATTTTTTCATATCTAATCAGCTATCTTACAGTATCAAAATATGCCGTTCATCTGATATCTCTAACTGCTTTTGCCTGCGAGATATCGCTGTGGTTTCGCTAGCGTAACAGGCGTTTTTCGGAGAAATATTGGAGCAACAAAATCAATTCTTGCGGCACAAAATATTAAATACCTTAGGATATGGACATATGAAATTGTTACGCTAGGGTAATATACCTATTATTTTCCTTGTATTCCATCTCTTGTGACAGTGTGTACAGAGATCTTCTAACTTGTTAAAATCTTTGGGAGCAACTAAAACAACTTACGATGAGCGGATTTCAGAAGATTGATGATTCAAGAATGACGGCGGCCAACGGTTGTTTTTATGAGTCAACATTGCGCGAAGGCCGCGAGGCTCGCAAGCCGGATGACGCCCTCGTTGCATTATGATAACACAAAACCAAATGTATACCATAACATAGTAGTGAACCATTACAGAATACGCAAGTTAGTTAAGATATTTTGCTAACTGGGTAAAAAAACTTGAAGGGATGTTAACTTTATATTTCAACCCTGTAATATTAAACGAACAATAAGCTTGCTTAGCTGCTACACGACGTTTGCGGTAACGTCATCATCACATAAAATTAATCAATCAATCAAATCAATTAATTTTGCAGTTTTGACAGAAATTATGATTAACTCTTTATACTTGTTTTTATTAGTACTTTAAGTAACACAATCTGCTCGACTTTGGCAGGTTTAGCAAAGTCAGTCAGCAGCACTATGGTTGTGGCACAGGCCTTCTCTATGGATGGCGTAGGGAGATTGGTATTGACTTGCCACGCAAGGCCCAATGCTGATTGGTAGGTGATGCTAATGACTGCAGATGCAGCCAGGACTTAACGTGCATTCCGAAGCACGAAGGAGCTCGATATATTAAGGTATTAGTTACCCCTCCAATTACCTATTGTTTTTAATGTTGGGAAAATATGTGACGCATATCCCACTCCTGGGTGAGAGATGAGGTTATACTCCTCTTCCCCCCAAATCCCGCACACTCTCTCCCGAAAGCACCTGGGCGTCCCACCTGGACGGATGAGACTGTGCATTGCAGATGGCAGACCTTGTCTGTCACCCGCTAGTCTCACTTAACCCATCCAATTACCTGCCATTGCGAAGGCAGCTTAACTTCCACGATCGCATACCGAACGCGTTAACCACCAACACCATCAATCTCCTCGGTTTATCATAGTGGCATGAGAAAAAAATGCTTTTAGCTGATGGAGATGAATGCAATGGTGTATTGTAAATATTATAATTAAACCTTTCGTGTTGATTTTATTCATTAAATTATAGGTTTTTTGACATAGAGTTCATCTTGTCTCTTAAATAATTTTCAAGAAATATTATAAATAATGAAGAAAATGATTAATAATTTATTGGCAGACTATTTAATCAAATATAAATGTAATAAATAGTCATCATGTTTATCATCATCATCATGTTTTTGAATCATATTTTATTTGAATAAGTATTTAGATAACAATTTATTCAAATAATGCACAACTCTGCTCTGCCTCATCTGATATTAAGAGACAGTACAGTTAAAACGTGACAATAGTTGTTACAGCAATTTTTTCATGCCACACCAGCCACTCTCATACTGCAGGCCTGCAAATTGCTTCTTCACCTCTCTTGTATCATTATGGCTTTCTATTCTTCATTCTCTTTGCCATATGGCTCCCATCCTTCTCATTACATGCCTGTGCCATGACAACATTTCAGTCTATCTTTCACTGTTGTATCTTTGAAAATTCCCTGAATGCAGAAGTTCCCTTGCTTTTTATTCCTGTCTCCCCACAGATCTATTTTAGCATTTATGTATCCCAGGCATAGTCAACTTTTGTCCATTCGCTTTTCTACCAAACCTTCTGAGCCATACAGAACAAACAAGTCTTACAATAGTTCCATAATTTTCCTATTATATAATTATTATTTATTTTTCTGTTTTGTACTTTTTTGTTTAAATGCAATAATACAATACCATACAGTCACACAGGTATTTTAATATTAATTATTTTAACTGGTTGCATAAGACATTAGTGGCCAATTAACTTGATCATAAACCATAGACAATGAAACCTGCACAGTACCTAGTTATTCTACATACAATATGTTTGCCATAAATAAAATCTTAGTTGCTATGCTGAATAAATTGTATTGTTATTCCTTTAGTACAGTCAATCTGTAGGTTGAGTGGTGAAAAAAAAACCTAAAGGGTAAGTCTTGTTTTTTCTGTTGCCAAATGACGTCAGTAAGCCACCTTGGCGATGGGCATGCTCAACTAGCGATTGTTTTGTGAATTCTTTCACAGTATTTTATTTACTAAATAATGCTCTATGTGTTAAATTCCATTTCACTGACAAGGTAATATAAATTAAATAAAGTTTAGGAGATAATAAATATTAATTTCACTGTAATAAGAAAATGCACCTTTAATAGTACTGTTACTCATAAATGTGAATTATCACCTTTTAACTGTATGTAGAAATAACATTTTTACAAATTAAGGTAAACAATAAAGCTAGCAAATGTTTTCTAATCTTAAACATCTATATAACTACATAATTGTGATAACAAAATTAGTAATTAACATTCTAAAGTTAATTTATAGCAAAAAGCACAAAATTTAATATTGTTTATTCAGTTAGGCTGTTATGAGCACTGAATAAAGTAAAAAAATAGAAGAAAATGCGATTCCTAGATAAGCTACAAATATTTTATAGTATGAGGGTGTGTAATAGTAGTGTTACAATTATAATTTATTTTGATATGAACATGTATTGTTTCTCATACTTATTAACATTATCTGGGATAAGAAGGAATAGTTTCCCTTACTTGTATTCAAGGTTTATTTATACAATGTAATTGAGCAAGCATTGTTTTCTATAAGGTTATCAGACTGTAACATGTTTCTTCAGAAAGTATACACCTTTACGAATAACAAAGGCCAAGTTTGATAAAAATAATTGTTTCGCAAAACTATGGACGGAACGCAACAAATTGTCGCGCTCCAATGACAGCTACCTATCATTCAAGTGGTCAGGTCAGGGGTGGGGCGTCAAGATTGGGAGATTTTATGAGATTTGTTTGAATCTTGTAATGACACAGATTCCGACAAAGGAAATCCAGGAAATACAAAAGTTTTCTTTACATTTTATATATCATTGTCTCAATGCTATTCTATCGAATTCGAGGTCACTAGAGAAACCTTTGGTTATGGCAACGTTGGAGTAGGAAAATGAAGATCAACTTACCGCCTGGAGCGCCGCTAACCTGTCCTTCGTCATCCTTTACAGAAAATCACACACCCAATAAACGTTTTATCTTATTACACAATCCCATTCACAGATATTTCTCTATCAAACGTCACTAAACTAAAGGACACGAACACTACGTTCACTTCACTCAAAAAATCGATAAACACGAAACGAACGATACTGACTGCTTGCCGTCTCATGACATGCCGTCTGTAAAAAAATCGAGAGTTGTAGGTGGCGCTACTGTAGATAACTATGAATGACGTCAAAATATCTGTCGGTAAAACAGTGAACACGGAAGCTACCAAGCACATAACTTTTATAAATAAAATATTAAAAAAGTCAAAAGATATTTTAAGTGTATTAAATATCGTAATAACTATTTTCTACAAATTTTGATAAACAGTCATCAAAAATGTATCATCGATTTTACATTAAATTTTATGTCTGTGCCAATATTAAAAGCACGTTGTTTTGACTACTTACGTTATTGCGCCTGTTCCTCTGTCAAAAATCTTCCGTTTAGTCAAGTGACGCCATTGTGAGCCGTAACGACTTTCCCCTGCATTGAGTTAAATCTCAATTTTCTTAAACAATCTTGGTAATTGGTGTTTTTATGTTATGTGTTTTGATTCTATAAAAGCTAAACTTTATTCCCAGTGTAATATTTATATCGGTATTAATGTAGTTTAGCTTTAAATTGCAATCAAGTTCGGTATCATTGAGCTAAATTCCTGTGAGCTTTTCTGAGCGCCATTCGGTGGAAACTTAAAACCAAATTGGACTTACTAGTTTGTTTGAATGTGTATTTACTAAAGTTTCAGCAGCGTTAACTCTATTATTATATTTTCAAATAGTCAATGCTACAGTTTGTAGTTTTAAAAGTACAGTGAGATAAAGAACTGTGATGTCATGTCACTTTACAATTTATATATAGCAAGTGCTGTTTGTTTCAGGTTGCTGTAGTTAAATAAAACAAACGAAAATGACTGAAGATATGCCAACATTCAAATGCGTGCTGGTTGGAGACGGTGGCACTGGCAAAACAACATTCGTCAAACGACACTTGACTGGAGAGTTCGAGAAAAGATATGTCGCCACATTAGGTGTCGAGGTGCATCCCTTAGTATTCCACACAAATAGAGGCCCTATAAGGTTTAATGTATGGGATACTGCTGGCCAAGAAAAGTTTGGTGGTCTCCGAGATGGTTACTATATCCAAGGTCAATGTGCCATCATCATGTTCGATGTAACGTCTCGTGTCACCTACAAAAATGTACCCAACTGGCACAGAGATTTAGTGCGAGTCTGTGAAGGCATTCCAATTGTTCTTTGTGGCAACAAAGTAGATATCAAGGACAGAAAAGTCAAAGCAAAAACTATTGTTTTCCACAGAAAAAAGAACCTTCAGGTAAGCCTACTTATTGTATTGTAATGCATGTTTCCGTTTTATCTGATGTGTATTCAGTGTATTAATGATTATATTAATTTCAGTATTATGACATCTCTGCCAAGTCAAACTACAATTTCGAGAAACCCTTCCTCTGGTTAGCGAGAAAGTTGATCGGTGATGGTAACCTAGAGTTTGTAGCCATGCCTGCATTAGTACCACCAGAAGTAACCATGGACCCACAATGGCAGAACCAAATTGAAAAGGATCTCAAGGAAGCCCAAGACACAGCATTACCCGAAGAAGATGAAGACTTGTAAATCTTGTAAATAAAGGCTGTTAATATTTTTAATTTCTCAATTACCCTTTAAATATGCAACAGATACAATGTGTGAAAGTTTTCCAATGATATCAGATTTCTTACAGTCAATGTGATGTTGACATACTTATCATTTTTATTATATTTATTACCCCCATTTACCTTAGTTGGTCATTATGTCTGATCTCAGTGGAAAACTTAAGAACTAATAAAGTTGTAAACATGTTGTCACTATTTTCATTCCATTAGGTATTCACAAATATAAATTGAAATGTGTACCTATAATTTATCTCTTTTTCAGCAAATTCACATCATGTCTTGTATACTACAATGTTATTACAATATTTGGAGTATTTAATTGATTTTTATTTACGTAAGATCTGATGTAAAATTGATTACATAAATGCCAGTAAACTCGAATTCTATTTTTATTTGACGTTCCCTTCCCTATAAGTTATCCCCTATGTTATTCATGCACTTTGCTGAGGCCCAGGCCTAGCCTACACTCAGGGCCCTATCCAAGGGGGCGAGCCGGTCATTTGCCCAGAGCTGCAAAATTGACTTAGGGGTGGTCCATAAAGTACGTCACATCAAGCGGGAGAGGAGGGGTCGATGGAATGTGATACTGGTGGATGGGGTCGTAATTTTCGTTACCTACGTCACATTTCAAAGTCTAATACTTTTGAACTATTCATAAAAAATATAGGTATTTGGAACTCTTCTGTATAGGTTTAAAATTATTGTTGACTCATTTTCGCAAATAGATTTGGAACTGCTGTTTTAACTTAATAATTTCTAGATGCAAAATATGACGTCACTCTTCAAAGGGGGGGGACTCGCAAACGTGACCAACGATAACAAGGACGGGGGGAGGGGTGAAAACATTAGCGTGGCGTCCTTTATTCCTATATCGATGGTGGGAATATTTAAGTAAATTATTTGAATTAAACGAGAATAGTGTTAGAGGAAACCCTGAAAGAAAGAGAAGTGGAGTCTATGCATAAGGGTATAACTGAAACTTAACATACCTCGGTCTATTTTTCAATATGACAGTGGGCAAATTTAGTAATGTGCAGCGCAATCAAAGGGGCTAAATAATACTGGCAGACTTCGTCAAAAGGAGGGCCTCTTAATAATGAACTCGTTTGACGCGGCTGAAGACCGATGTAGTTGAAGTTTGAGATTTTGAAGGAAGATGAGAGCTTCAATGAAGTTATAAGTACATCTCAACTCAAAACCTATTGATGATTTGACTAAAGGCCATATTAACCTGACATTATACCGAAGATATCCCGGATATTAGCCTATACGAGATTAGTAACGCTCTCAAACAACTGATTAACAACAAAAGGTCAGGGGGTGACGGATTCAAAACGGAACTCCTAAAAGCCGGTGAAAAGCCAGTACCTATGTTAAATCGTTTAGCGAAGGTTCAATCCCGTTATTCACGAAGACATAACACCAGAGGCAGCATACAGGAGCGTGCTTATGTGACTATATAGCATTGAAGAACAGACGTATTTCGCTGCGACTATCCAACATCCAAGCGTTGAAGAGTTTAAACGGTATTGCTACCATAGCAGTCCGCAACGAGATCTATCCAACCACAGCTAGATATGCGACAGGAAGTTTTCCCTGAAGCTGTATACCGCTGTGTTCAAGACATCTTTAAGCTTCTGGATTGGGCCGGACTTTGTATCAACGTCAACGAAGAGTACATCACTCACCTTAGATTTCCGATATTAAAGTCGTAATCGCAAACACTTTGGAGGATTTCAACACAATGTTCAACGATATCAGCAGAGCCTCTCAACAGGGGCCATGAAATAAACACGATTAAGACGAAAATTATGTTCAGCCCATAAGGAAATAAGTTGAGAAGACTGCACTCGAAATTGTTGACAAATTCGGTGGTAAATCTAATTTCGTTCGAATCAAGAGGTAAACAGTACCCCTAGCACGAACCAATATCGAATTCGTATCGTTTGCGAGTCCTAAATGTCATTGTCAAATGTGTACTGATTTTTAGTTCTAGTTACGTACTTTGTGCCGCTGCTGTTCAAGTTTCCATATAAAATTTGACAACGACATTTCGGACTCGCAAACGATACGAATTCGATATTGGTTCGTGCTTTCAAACGCATAGTCGATAATATAGTCGTCTCTTTTGCTCGCGGTCCGTAACTGCTGTTTTGCCAACAGTGTATTCAGAATTACGCGTAGAGTCAAGGAAATAAGATCTATATTTTTCTGCATAAAGGAATAAGTCCTAAAATTTTACAAAGCTTGCATTTCGAACTGTCGTATCTCATCATCTTACGGAGCTCTGTGGATTGTTCAATGTACCTTTTGGACAGGTTTCAGCGACGATTTTATTCGTATTGGTGTATCTAGGGTATTTAATATCGTTGGTATTTCTACATAAAATTTATAATAATGTTACCCAAATCTGATACTTTGTGGCTAGGCTAATTGGTGTGATCGTTAAAAATATTTATAACATTATTATAACATTAGAATTTTGAGAATTCCACAGAGTAATCTTTTTTTTTTATTTCTGGGAAAGGGCAATTACCCGTGGTGCATAAAGATTTGACGCCTTCCTTCGTCACCGGGAGCGTGCGACGAGGATATCTATGAAGTCCTCCCTACCCAGTTAAGACCAGAAATAATAATAAAATAAATAATAATAAATATTTCCAAAACACACACCAATTAGCCTAGCCCCAAAGTAAGCACTGTAAGGCTTGTGTTATGGGATGCTAGGGGTAACGGATAGAATACATATACCGTACATATATAATTATTGAAGTTATACTTCTTTAGGCGCGTTATGAAAAAATGATGAGAGTGAAATTTTAAGATGCGCGCGCATCACTGTAACACAAAAATTATTAACAGCATGAAGTTGCTGCTGCAGCTTTAGCGACCAACTTCATGCTGTTACTTTTGTGTTTACCACAAATTAAGAAAATCTACCAACAAAATAGAAATAGAATCTCTATTTAGTGGGTGCTAACGACTGCATTGTGAAGGCCTATCAAAAGTATTTATTAATCTGGAACAACAGAACCAAAGCGCGATTCAGGAGACTACAGCGCCATCTCTTGACCATTGGTGTAGTAGAACCAAAAACCACATCTTTATTTTTTGTAATAAAGTAACAGTTATAGGTATTCATATTTATAATATTTATCCACATGTTTCTAGTTTGTATATTCGGAATACGTGTTTGAGTTTCATACAAGTGCAAATCACATATGTTCTAATAAATTATATTCAGTAGCGATTTTAATTGAATATTTTGATTATTTATTTATTTTTTCAAATTAAAACTGAACTTAATTGACTGTGTCCTTTTCCAGACTTTTTATTAATTTATTGTAATTAATTATTTGCTTGCAATTAAAAACTAATTTTAAACGATGCCAAAGAAGGATAACTTCTCACGCGCCTACATAAGTACACGCACCCATTTTATTTATATAGAAATACATATTAAACATCCATGACTGGAGTACAAATGCTCGTATTCATCACACATACATCTGCCCCCACCGGGATTCGAACCCGGGACATCTCGAGTCAGCGACACCATGAAACCCGGCGTACAAACCACTCGACCACGGAGGTCGTCAGAAATAACTCTTGCATCGGCCACTTGACACGCAATTCCGAGGACTGCAGTCCCAGATAAGCGTGTTGAAACCGCGAGAACGAATTAGGTACTTCACGGTCCCGCCGGTGATTGTAGTTAGACCCCTTCCCGACGTGCGGTTTCCCGGAGCATCAGAGGCACCAGACATCACAGGAAACGTGCAATGCAGGCTCCCATCCCACAGGAACCTAACATTTTCCCGGACTGTAAAGTAACCTATGTCTAGGACGACGACATTATAGCTGCTCAGCCAAACAGCCTCACATATTAGAGCCAGTAAGTGAGGCTCCGAGTGGCACAGCCTTATCTAGACGCACGCCGCACCGATATCTTCAATAAATCGATGCCACTCTAGGTCGCGTCAGTGACGTTAGCTTTTAACCGACTTCAAAAGGGAAGAGGTTCTCAATTCGGTCGGTTTTCTTCTTATGAATGTATACCGATTACTCCGACGTTTCTGACCCGATTCACGTGATCCTTTTTTGGAGTTTACTCCTTAAGAATCAATTTGCATATATAAGGGGCCCGGTATGAGAAAAATGTGAGGCGTAAAATCTATCGATGAATGACCTCGTTACGTTTTTGGTGCGCAACCTATGTCGCGCAACTTTGACAAACAAAGATGACGGATTGACATTAATAACCATAAACCACTTGTCACTGTAATTAATAATGCAGTCAATGTTGATTTAAGTAATATTTAAAAAAATGGTAATACACTGATAATAATAATTACATAATTTATCAACATTCCTAATGATATATTTATGCACATCTGAAATTGACTATTGTAAAAAGTTTAATGTAAAATATTCGATTATAATAACGTCGATTAGTTATAATAAATGTATATGAAAGGAATAAATATATATTTATATATTATGTATATTATTTTTATTAATTTGTTAATTTACCCTTTCATACAGTATCAATCTTTTTTAAGTTAAATAAACTCTTTTTGCGTCTGGTTAGACTATCGAACTTAAGGAGTAAACTCCAGTCGTGCGCCGGAGCTGACCCACACATTTTTTTTTATTTGGTGCGGAATAGTTGACATTTTGTCGTATAATTTTTTTATCCAGTTTGGTCCAGTGTTTTTTTTTGATAGGAGATACTGCTGTATTGTCTCATAAAAATATTTAGTTTGACCCTGTCGTTTATGTTATGAGTTTATTTTATGAGCATTTTGTTTACTTGAACAATGGTGTCGATTCGGGCATGATTCTCTAAACCTAAACTTAAATTTGACAACAGTGTATCCTTGTCATTCTCTATACAGTATGAAAAGAAGAGACTGATGTTAAATTTAATTTAAAAGTTTAGATAATCACGCCAGAATTGGCACCAATGTAATGTTCACTAAAATGGATGAAATAAATCATAAACCAGATATATTTTTTTACGATTTTGTAGTCGGTTTTTATCCTCTTGCATGAAGAAATAACTTTATTTCTTGTATGAACATTAATGAAACTTAAAGATCTGAGTCTTGAACATTATGTTGGATGGATAAACAGTTAATGATCAACATCTAATGAAGATGCATATGGCACTATATTTTAATAAAACAAGTAAATGTTTTATTAAATTTATATTTTTTTAAATGCATACATTAAAGGTTCTACAACTATACTTAATTAAATTTGCAAGAACTTCACTTCTTAGCGACGGACTTTTCTCGTGCCTTTTTCCCTTCCAATAGTTTGATTCTGTCTTCTTCAGATAGATTGTTGTTGATCTTTGTGATCACTCCTGTCCCAAGAGTCATATCGCCAAGGCGTAAAGTAAAACGTTGTCCTGTTTCACAGACCATTGGTTTCACAAGCCGTAGGTGTAATCTGAAATTGAATTAACAGGTTGTAAATAAATCGTACTATATACGATATATGAAACCTAAATTCTTATCATCAATAAATTAACAGCATAAGCAGAGAAGACAATAAGGCAAGGGTGTGTGAAGCAACTGGTGTACTCTGAACCGGTAACCCAGCCACACACTTCGAGTCTTCGAAGTCGCACCTGACACCAACTCTCTGCTCCTATATCCAGTTGGTATTCCTAGTGCACCACTATGGGCACTCCCAAATGTGCGGGCTCCAAGGAGGGTGGGAAACTGACTGGATGAATTTTAACACCACGAACAATGGACACTAACAGGTTCAACGTTCCGCCAACACCCGATGTGAAACCAGAGGGCACATATTTTATACTCGCTCGCAAACCGAGAAATCGGAATGCCTGCTCGAGAAAAGCTCCACTACGCCTCAGATTGAGGACACCATACAACTGCTAGAGCAGAACTGGATGGTCGTGGCTAGGAAAGGAGCGAGGAAGGTAGAGGAAACTCGGACAACCGCGCCATCCGGTCAGACCTCTAAGCGTTTGGAGAGGCAGAGGGAGTGGACGCGAAAAAAATAGCAGCTCAAACGGGTCTCTCGTTGACGGTCTCTTCCAGTTACCGTATTGTCCAGTCGGAAGACAAGGACTCTGGGACGGCAGGGGGAGCGAAAGGCAGCCAGCTGCCCAAGAAACCCCAGGTGACACCGGGCCCGAGTCGGAAGCTGGACGACGTCTGGGGCCAAGCAGGCTAGGCTCGATGAGACAGTGTCTCCTCGAGGCAAATCCAAACGGCCTAAGACGATAGCGACCGGGACTGCCCCGAAATCCTACGCGGCGGCAGCGGCCTCCTCAGCTCTCATCAGATGCGCCGTCACGTCGAAGACCGGGTTTATCTCGAGACCGATGGCGGAGCAGATTGAGGAGAAGCTCGAGGAAGCCTTTTTACAGGCAGCAATGCGTTACCACTACGGCTCAGCTTCGGCGGTGGTTGGAGACCAACAACCCACCAGTCGCACTAATCCAGGAGCCGTGGATTAGGAGTGGCACGGTGCGAGGACTCTCCATCTTAGGAGGTAAGCTCGTTCAAGCCACTACTAGCGACGTAAGGTCCTTCCTGCATATACATTTCCAGAAACATCAGAACACAGCCTTTAATGAATTTCTGTTCCAGAGATCTCTGCGCTGTAAAACTGACCCTAAACCAAGATAATAACAGTTGTGTCCTGATCATAGCTTCTGCATATATGCCTAACGGCGAGCGGGCCCCACCAGAAAACGTTGCGTCTCTGGTCCGCTTCTGCGCTCGGGAAAACGTAGAACTGATCTTCGCGACAGACTCTAATGCCCATCATCCTGTGTGGGGAATGGAACAAAGCAACAACAGAGGCAACCAATTATTTGAATTCCTCCTGAGTACTAACCTAGAGTTAATCAACACAGGCAATGAACCTACCTTCGTAGGCAGACGGTGCAAGACCATCATAGACCTGACCCTAGCGACACCAAAAGCGGCAACAACTATATCTGGCTGGCATGTCTCCAATGAGGCATCATGCTCAGATCACCGCTGGATCCGCTTCACACTACAGGTAGGAACTCTATCTCCTACACCCCAAAGGTATCCACAGAAAACCGATAAACACCGCTACGCACAACTACTGGCGGACCTTCTAAGAAACAACTACGGTAAGTTCAGAATTGAAACCACGGAGCAGCTAGAACAACAGCTAAAACAATTGACAGACAGCATAACGCGTTGCTATGAAGAGGCCTGCCCCCTTAGACTCCCGAACTCGAGAGTATCCGGAAAACACCACTGGTGGGGCCCGGAGCTCGAGAGATTGAGAGGGAAGGTGAGGAAGTGCCTTAACAGAACAATGAATACATCAACGACACAGACTGGGACAACTACAAAGCTATTAAAGCTAAGTACAAGAAACGTATCAGATACTGGAGAACAGGCTCCTGGAGGAACTTTACCGAGAAGATAAACTCCACCAACCAGGCAAACCGGGTAAGGAAATTGCTGGCCAAGCAAGGCCCTGGCGTGATGACCTGACGGCACATTATCCCATAATCGGGCTGACTGCGACGCTATACGCTACCTCCTAGAAACCCACCTTCCGGATTGCCAGCTTACAGAGCAGGGAAGATGCACCTCCAAGTACAACAGAATGATGCTGGAGACTAGCAGAGACGGTAATTATGCCCGAAGGAGTAAAGTGGGCTATTAACTGCTTTGCCCCTTTTAAGTCTGCTGGCTCTGACGGCATCTTTCCAGCACTACTACAATGGGGCGGACAGGAAGTGGTCGATGCGGCTACTCATATATTAAGGTCATGTCTGGCTCATCGGTACACTCCACATCTGTGGAGGGAGGTCAAGGTAGTATTCATACCCAAACCGGGTAAAACCGACTATACTAACCCTAAATCCTTCAGGCCTATTAGCCTAACAACCTTCTTACTTAAGACGATGGAAAGGCTATGCGACAGGTACCTACGCAGTGGAGCATTAATCAATGCCCCACTACATAAACACCAACATGCCTACAGTTCAGGTCAATCTACTGAATCGGCTCTCCATCAGTTAGTCGGTAAGATAGAAGAAGCCCTTCAAAATAAACTTATCTGCCTCGGAACCTTCATCGATATCGAGGGTGCTTTCGATAAGACCAACTTCACCAGCATTGAGTCTGCTCTCAGTGGAACCCGGAGTGGAGCAACAAATCATTGACTGGACAGTTAACATGCTTCGCAATAGAATAGTTCGGGTAAAAGGTGTGGACAGTAGAGGAGCACTGGTGGCACGAGGATGTTCGCAAGGAGGGGTTCCTTCGCCACTTCTGTGGAACCTAATAGTAGAAGACCTGCTGACCAAGCTACACTCGAACCACCACTACACCATAGGGTAAGCAGATGACATAACTATACTTACCCTAGGCACCCACGCCAGCATTACCTGTAACACCATGCAAGGTGCTTTGAAACTGATTGAATGCTGGTGCAGGAAATACGACCATCCAACACACAGTTAATCCAATTAAAACAGAGCTGGTAATGTTTATAATGTAGGTGCTTTCCACTTGCCGAAGCTGCTTGGTACCACACTACAATTGTCGAAGGAGGTAAAGTATCTAGGCCTTATACTTGACAGTAAACTAAACTAGAGTAACCATGTGGAACATAAAATCAAGACAGCCAGCGTAACACTTTGGCAATGCCGTTAAATGTTAGGGAAGCGCTGGAGTCTTGCACCAAAACTGTTCCTATGGTTATATTACACAGTCATACGACCAATGGTAAGTTATGGTGCCATCATATGGTGGCCGAGATCTACCCAGACAACTTGTGTCAATAAACTATAAAGCTTTCAGCGGCATATACAGCGCGGTGACAGGGTGCTTGAGTACGGCTCCAACCGCAGCAGTGTTAGTTATTTTAAACATCATACCGCTCCATATCTACATAAGACAGGAAGCGGCTTAAACAGCGTTGAGACTACAAAAGTTTGAAAGAATAGGTAAACACTCCGCCCATAGATGCGGCATGTGACAAAATAATACCCGCCTTCATATTTGACAAAAAGTACAGAATGCATCTACTGGATGACAACGATCCAAAGGTAACACACAAGGCTCTCAAGATCTACACCGACGGCCCTAAAACCTCATCGGGCACGGGCGCGGGTGGCCAATCGTACCGATACCGGTAAGCTGTCTCGTCAATAAAATCCGCGAGCACACAGCTGCACTACACCAGCAACACTGGCTCGATCTGGAGACGTGCAGGCAGACGAAGCTCGCTTTGCCACGGGTGTACGCTGCCTTCTTCAAAACTCTCCTACAGCTAAGCAAACCTACATTGCGCATGGTAACAGGTGCTATTACTGGACATGACCATTTTAACAATCATCTTTTTAACTTAGTTTTCACGGACAGCCCCCTATGCAGAGGATGCATGGAGGCAGAAGAAACAGCTACTCACGTTCTGCTGGAATGCAACGGAGTGGCCGAATACCAGGCGAAATATCTCGGCTCACCGGAAAACCTTCAAGAGGCAGTCACCAATGTGAAGGCCCTGGCGCCTTCAGGGCACTCCTGGCGGAGCTGGGCTGGCTGGAGTGATACCGGCTATACACCCTCCTCACGCAAAACAGACACCATAAGGACGTCGAGTTGCGGAAACGCCCGTAGCAACAAGATGAAGAGAAGAAGAAGCAGATAATTAAGATTAAATGGTGATGAATAAGATTATGTTGAATATTTGAGTTTATATTAGTTTATATTTATTAGACTCCACAATAAATGTTTGTGAAGCTCGTGTATGATTTCTTTTTTTTTAATTAACAGGTTCTTAAAATTTTCATATGTTAAAATATCATTGTTGTACAGCAAAAACTCAGAAGTTGAGTGTATAAATTATTGTAACATCAATGTATTATTCACAAATTAAAAACAGAGTCAATTTTATTATTATTAACTAATTACGATTTACTGGGTTTTCACTGCAAAAATTTCTTAATAATAAATATTAAAGGAAGTCAATGCTTACGTTGCATCTTCACCAGGCATAACCATCTCTTTTTCTGGAATGGAGACTTGCGTGGCACAATCCCATGTCATAGAGAACATTTGCAATTGGATAAATGAAGTGAATGGTTTCGCACGCCCACCTTCTTCTTTGCTAAGAATGTATACAGCAGCTTCAATATTATCATGTGCTTTTACAGTGCCAGGTTTAGCCATAACCATACCACGTTTGATCTGTTCTCTCTTAATAGCACGCACAAGGGCACCTAACTGATCACCTGCCTGAGCTTCATCTAAAGTTTTGTGGAACATTTCAACACCTGTTACTGTAGTCTTCATTACTTTTCCATGGCCCACAATTTCACACTCTGTGCCCTTTTTCAAAACACCTGCAAGATCATAATTATTAAACATATCAGTATCGAATCATAAAGTATAAAAACATTGTAATTAAAGATTAAATACCTCTATGTAGACGTCCTGTTACAACTGTACCACGTCCTGGGATAGAATGTACAGATTCTACTGGCATGAGGAATGGCTTATCTAATTCACGGATTGGTGTAGGGATAAAGGAATCTACTTGTTCTAAAAGCTTTGATATAGCTTCAGATCCTATTTCCGGACTTTTACCTTCCAAGGCACAAAGTGCAGATCCTGTAAAAATACATGGAACACTAATTGAGTGACTCAAAATCAAGTAAAATAAAATAAGCTTTATTATTGTAGGGTTCTAGTATGACTACCAGACCCTAACAGAGTAAAAGAATAGGTTTTACTGCTATTTTTATTTACCTTTAACTACAGGTATGTTATCCCCATCATATCCCATTTCTGTCATAAGCTCTCTAATTTCCATCTCCACCAGTTCAACCATCTCTTGGTCAGCGGCATCAACTTTGTTGATGAACACTACGACATGTTGGATTCCAATTTGTTTTGCAAGAATCAAGTGCTCTCTGGTTTGTGGCATCACACCATCAGTAGCAGCCACTACAAGTATGGCACCATCCATTTGAGCAGTTCCAGTGATCATGTTCTGCAAATGATAAGTAACATTCATAAACAAAATTATTTGATAGTTCTAAATTATAAGTGCTCTTACCGTTTCATAATGAATTTAATAATAAAATAAAAATGCAGATAACCTGTTTTCCAGTGTCTTATTGAGTTTAAGCAATGAATGCTTTAAAGTGACAAAAGGTGAAAAAATTATAAGACTATATTGTTATGCATTTGAATGAACAGCATACAAAGCCAGAATGAAAATTAATACCTTGATATAATCTGCATGACCAGGACAATCAGTATGACCATAATGCCTCTGTTCGGTTTGATATTCAACATGTGCCACATTGATGGTGATTCCACGAGCTTTTTCCTCTGGTGCATTGTCAATATCCGAATACCCCTTTTTCTGAGCCAAATTAAGATCTGCTAATACTGTAAAATATAATTGATTTGGTTAAATGATACGAAGGCAATATATATTAAATTCTAATAAAATATGACACTGCACTGACACAATGACTTTAAATCTTGAGATATAGTTTTAATTTTATACTGAATATTGTTGAAGAAATACCTTTTGTAATGGCTGCAGTTAATGTCGTTTTTCCATGGTCAACATGTCCAATAGTTCCGACATTACAATGTGGTTTTGTTCTTTCAAACACTTGCTTTTCTGCATAGTGACGTTTTAGGATAATATTCAATGAACTCACAGGTGTTATAACAGAGCATCGTAGATGCGAGCTGTGACTTTGTTTTAAGACAAACTTGAGGGCTGCAAAGTAATATCATATCAAAACAATCTAACCTTATAATACAATTAACACTATATTTTTCAGTAGCTTTTCTTTTAGATATTAAGATGACCATATTTTTGTGGAACTGGAAAAAATAACAAAGCATTCGATTTACTCAAAAGATGAAACAAAGCATTTACTCGGAACCTTTTACATAATAGCACGACAGCTAAATAATTTTACTAAAGCGTAAAGAGTTACACCAAAGAAAATAAGTGAATAATGAAATAATTTAGTTTAATTTTTGGGTTTGGTTCATTAATATTTAAACAAGAGTAGTATCAGCAAGAGATAACAGTGCCGCATACCTGGGTTAACCAAACTTTTAGCAAGCGATATGGTAGCCATTGATGTAAATGTTTACACCAGACTTGAATTTAATAGTTATTAATAGGGTTGATTTGATGATTTCAATAATGAGAAATGATTAAGGTGAGCCCACATAGAAAAATGCGAGCTGCAGTGAAAATCTTTGAAATGAAGGAAAATCGCGAGAAAATCCATAAACTGAATGACATTAAATGTCAAAATCTTATTTTTGGTCTTTATGTTCCAGTTGAGATGGGCAAAGGATTCTGAGTCCTGACCGCTCTACAAAAATATCTATCGTTAACATTTTTGATTCTTAATCGGAATGGCAACAAAGGTTGCTTTCCAATTACAGAGCATAAGGGTGCGGCCAGAGTGCACTCAGATTCAGAGTCAGATTCAGATTCTGAAAACAAGCGCGAGAAATAAACAGTGTAGTCTAAGTTCAGTTTTAATTTGAAAAAATAAATAAATAATCAAAATATTCAATTAAAATCGCTACTGAATATAATTTCTTAGAACATATGTGACTTGCACTTGTATGAAACTCAAACACGTATTCCGAATATACAAACTAGAAACATGTGGATAAATATTATTAATATGAATACCTATAACTGTTACTTTATTACAAAAAATAAAGATGTGGTTTTTGGTTCTACTACACCAATGGTCAAGAGATGGCGCTGTAGTCTCCTGAATCGCGCTTTGGTTCCGTTGTTCCAGATTAATAAATACTTTTGATATTATAAATATGAATACCTATAACTGTTACTTTATTACAAAAAATAAAGATGTGGTTTTTGGTTCTACTACACCAATGGTCAAGAAATGGCGCTGTAGTCTCCTGAATCGCGCTTTGGTTCCATTGTTCCAGATTAATAAATACTTTTGATAGGCCTTCACAATGCAGTCGTTAGCACCCACTAAATAGAGATTCTATTTCTATTTTGTTGGTAGATTTTCTTAATGTGCGGTAAACACAAAAGTTAAAATTTTGTGTACAGTGATGCGCGCGCATCTTAAAATTTCACTCTCATCATTTTTTCATAACGCGCCTAAAGAAGTATAACTTCAAAAACACTTGTTAATTTTCTGTCTCTAAGTTGGGACGATTGCACGCATCACACGAAAGCATCACTTTTGAGAGTGCTCAATTGTGCGAAGCGTTGCTGTAGTTGGAACACTCAACGTTAAGCATTATGCCGCATAATGCGCTTTAATGCTGTAATTGGAAAGCTACCAAAGTACTACGTTTAAGGACATCTCGACTTGGTATTTCTCTTTTTTATTTATTTTCATGAAAATGGTGCTGTCTAAGAAGTGTTTTAGTCGTGTTCAAGCACTTCTTGATCGGGACACATTTTGAGCACACGTGGTGTATCTAGGTAGTTTTCCAAATACAGCACTAGAGCGCATTATGCCGCATAATGCTTAACGTTGAATGTTTCAACTACAGCAACGCTTCGCACAATCGAGCACTCTCAAAAGTAATGTGTTCGTCGTACCAACTCAGTGACAGAAAATTAACAAGTATTTTTTACTTTAAGTTGGCATTGATCGAAATGTTTTATAAAATATTATCGTTAGTAATATTATTTATTGTTGCAAAATTTTTAAAGCTTTCGTTTCAAAAAGTTAATTCTAACTGTGTTAAAAAATAAATATAAGTATGGAATTGAAAATATTATTATATATAATTGAAAACTGATGTACCTTCAGTACATCAATTGACTTTTTTTTTCAACACTGAACTTAAAGCTACAGTTACACATGCTCTAAAATAGCATGCTAAAAAGCATGCTATTGAGTATGCTCAATATGAGCATGCTTATGAGCAGTTTACATTTGCTAGCAATAGGCATGCTAGTTTTAAGTATGCTCCTGAATTAGCATGCTCAAAGCAAACACTCCAATACACATGCCATTTTATAGCATGCTCTCTCACTCTGTCAGTTCAAACAAAGCCATGGACAATCAAACAGCTATCCGTATGGAGCTGAATAAGATCATCCTTTTGCTGGCGATGCAATGCACCCAGAAGCTTATATCAGCTCGGCAAAAAAAGAAAAGAAAGAGAAAGATTTGGGTTCGTGATTGGATATCTAGAAGATTTATTTCGATCAACATTATTTTTATACTGCGGTATGCGGGGATTCCACAAGCACTCGTGATTTCGGTATAAATTTACAAATTTGAGCGTTTTTTCGTCGCCCCAGCGAGACATTTTGCGTGAAGATGGTTCACACGCACCTGTTGCGAACGACTGATCGATACTAGCATGCGCAATAGGCAAACCTGTTCACACGCGCTAAAAGCACGCCCCCCTCCACCCGCGCTGCGGGTAGCATGCCCAAAAATCGCACGACCGTTGATTTTTGAGCAAACTCAAAATGAGCATACTCATTATTAACAATGTTTCGACACACATACTACTAAGTAGCAATTGCTCAATAGTGGCATGCTTTCTAGTAGCTAGTAATCAGCATGTGTAACTGTAGCTTAACGCACTCTGCTGGTTCATTTGTAAACTAATTCACGTTCCAATTAAAGCATCAGCATAATTCGGCATTGTGCGCCACTGAGTCTCATTATGCTTTGTCGCATTATTGTGGGGCAATGCCCTGCCTTGGAATCACAATTAAAAAAATTGTAGCAATAGGTACTTATCTAAACTTTTCCGGACATACCACAGCTTGTGACATTTATTTCATATTATGATAATTCTTTGTTCTGTGTATAGATGGCATTTGAAGCGCCAAAACATGAGACGATGGGTCGATCTGTGATGCAGAGGGAATTCCACACACCATAAATTGCAATATGGGCTATATTGCAATCTTTCGTACGGGGAATCCCGTACATAATAAACATTAACTAAAGATTGATTATGATTGTTCGTAGTTTGGTTAAGTGTACGGTAAAGAAAGAGTGTTTTACACAAAAAAAATGGAATGGTTAGGGAATAATTTTGCACGAATTGCTTTAATTATCAGTATAAAAGTACTATCATGTATGTGGTTGAATACAATATTTATTTATTGCGCTATCGTACACAAACATGACAATTTATAAAGAAAAGTTTACTAGAAAAAAAAGATCCACGCGGACCAGGCAGCGGAAGGGACTTTAGATTTAACATCTAGCAGTTAAATGTTAATAAATAAAAACATGACAATTTATATTAGACGACCTCCGTGGCCCAGTGGTTTGTACGCCGGGTTTCATGGCGTCGCCATCTCGAGAGGTCCCGGGTTCGAATCCCGGTGGGGGCAGATGTTTGTGCGATGAACACGAGCATTTGTACTCCAGTCATGGATGTTTAATATGTATTTCTATATAAATATAATTATATATGTAAAGTATATATATATTCTATCCGTTACCCTAGTATCCCATGACACAAGCCTTACAGTGCTTACTTTGGGGCTAGGCTAATTGGTGTGAGTGTTGGAAATATTTATAAAAAAAAAAATATTACATTAAAATAGTTTATCTCTCAGAAAAATCGACTTACATGAATCAATTTTAAGCACACTTAGCGACATCTATTGTAAATAAATCAACTTACATGAATCACATTTAAGCGCACCTAGCGACATCTATTGTAAAAAAATGCATTTTCTTCGCAATAAAGCTGCCACGTCCTAGATAGAGACTTCTTATTATAATACGATAAAATAAAATATTACTATATTTCGGCCAACATATTGAAAGTCAACAACCTTTCCAATTTTATTGTGTGTCATGATGCGATCAGCCCACGTGTTTAATCTGACGAGAATTAAAAATTTTTTACCAATACAAAAAAAAAGTGTACAACGCCGCGAAAGAAGTTTTCACTTCAAAAACGAAAAGTTGAAGAGCAAATTGACCACGAAGAACCTCACTGCTCAAAACAGGTGGAAGCACAAGATACAATCGCTACTCTAGTGTCATGGCAACAGGTTCGCACCTCTAAACCCGACCCTGAGTTACAGTGGCGGCGCTAGACCACATGTGGACGTCGGCGACATCAAGTTCGTGAGGCCTATTTTACTTCGCAGTAAAAAACCGTTAAATTAAGTGAGCCAAATTATAAAATAACGTATGAGTAAACAAGTTTTATTGTGGATAATCAAATGATGACAAAAAATAATTACAAAAATAGTGTTGCCAGACAGACTCGCTTCCATCACGCATGTGTTTGAAAATAATAAAAGTCATTATCATCTGCTTAAATTTTTCCCCGAATTGTTCGGGGTCGGCGACCTAAGTCAGGCCAGCAGAAACGAAAATAAATAGGTAACTTGTAAAAAAATTTTGCGAGGCCCCCTCAAGCGCGAGGCCGTCGGCGGTGAATGTTTATTTCACTTTGTGGTTGTCGATATGAAGATAGGTACAACTTTCAAGTCCTAATCGAATAGCAACTGGAACTTCAACTATCAGATTGAAGTACATTCAATAATCTAACTTAAAACGTTTTACTAAAGGTGCTTAATCACATTCAACGATATTAAATACCCTAGATACAACAGCACGAACAACAACAACAACCGTAACGTCCAAAAGGTACATTGTATGATCCACGGAGCTCCGTAAGATGATCGTGTGATCAAAACCCATATAAGGCATTATTTAAACATTGAAAGTCACCTTTAACGCATACTGTATAAGGTCTTAATAAAAACGCATGCTTCAAAGAAATCTGACAGCTCGAAATGCAAATTTCGTAAAATTTTACGACTTATTGCTATATGCGAAAGAATATAGACCTTATAGTCTTGACTCTACGCGCAATTCTGAACGCGCTGTTAGCAATATAGCAGGTACGGACTGCGAGGCAAAGAGACGGCTATACGGCGACGTATAACCGACCATGCATTCGAATATCTCAAATATTTTATATTTAAATCAGTTTATAGTAAGTATAAGAACAAAATTTGCTTCAAATGCGTTAAATTAACAGTTGATTAGATACCTGTCGAAAAAATGACACTTCGTATTATAAGTATTATTAGTATTTTCACAGATTTATGTGGCATCTTGACTTCGTAACGGTCCGCGCGTGACTGTGAACCAAGAAGTGCTTGAATGGAGTTCAAGCACTTCTTAATTGGGATTGGGACACATTTTGAGCACTCGTGCTGTATCTAGGGTATTTAATATCGTTGATCACATTAGCTAATTATACAGTACGCCATCTAGCGTTGAGTAGCAACACTAATATAAATAAGCTTGTGTTTTTTTGCTATGCTGGCACTTCATTTTGCTATTCGTTTGCTATTTTATAAACTTGATTTCTATGGAATAAAAAGGACAGACTGCTGTCATGTTTATAAATAGCAAAACAAAATAAGAAAACTGCGGTGCCCGTATTTTAATTACTGGATGAGTAAATTCGGAAATATATCTGTCGTGAAAAGGGTTACCATCCGTCAGGATTAGTCCGGACATGTCCGGTCTTTTCAACTATAGTCCGGACTTTGTCCGGATTCTTTAAATAACATTGAATAATAAAAGTACATACTGATTTAAATACCATACCATTGTAACTAAGTGAGTAATGGTATAGTACCATTTGTGACTAAAAAGTCTGGACTTTTTTCGAAAGATCAGGACTTTTGAAATTCCTAAATGGTAACCCTAGTCGTGACGCGTCAGAGAGGTATCGTTTTCATACATTTCGTCAACACATCGCGACATACAAATGTAATTCTAACCTTATTACAAATGAAACCGAAACCTATACGACTCAGTATAATAGAAAAAGAAATTTTTGGCTTAAGGTTGAATTGCAATGGTTTGTCATTTGATAGGTGACCAAAATCTTATTATCTCGAGCTCCTCCGTGCTTCGAAAGGCACGTTAAGCTATTTATCCTGGCTGCATCTTCAGTCGTTAGTACCCACCAATCCGACTAGGCCTGCGTGGTAGGTCACGTCAAGGCCCAATCTCCCTATACCATCCATAGGGAAGGCCTGTGCCCCAGCAGTGGGGACATTAATAGGCTAATGATGATAATCTTCTGGCGTAGGTTTAGCTTAGCTTTATATTTCAATTACACTGGTTCTGACAAGAAATATACATTGGGTTTGGGTATAGATGCATTATTTAAATTTATGGCTTCGGATATGTACTGAAACGACATCATAATGAAGCTACTGCCTACTTCTGCGTTCTTTAGTCAACGGACATCACTCCTGAATAGGGATGATGACTATTTTTTTTTCTTTGTTTATAAGGTAGATTATCAAAAAGTATTGGACACGTATTTTTTCTTTTTTCATATAATATAAACATTGCAGAGATATATTGATTTGAAAAGTCGCATGACGTCACGTTTTAGTACACTTTTCAGTGAAAATTCACTCATAAGTGACGTCACGAGCCCCTACTCCCAAACTTTGACGCGCTATAACTTTGTCATTTTTTGTTTGATTGCCCAAAGAAAAAATAAGTGTCCATTATTTTTTGATCATCTAACTGACGGACTAAACAGAATTTCGTTTACTGTACCCCGTCACCACCCCTATTGACCGCGTTTACTTAATTTGCTTCCTGATCTACTATTAAATACACATTGCTCTACCCACTAAGTAATCTTTTAGCTCTACCTATGCTAACCGCGTACCCGCGCTCGCAATCACCTGTTCGGGGAAGGCAATGGCCTTGAAGTGTGTTATACACCTATACCCTCTTATTTATTACTAACTGATCGGAAATTAAACACTCTTATCAGTTTTTAAGAAATTTATTGAAAACAGTAAAAAAATGAAAAAAATATCTTTCTTCATTTCTCTTAGACCTTAGCTAAATCATATCTTAACAGTTATATCAAGCATTAAGTTTTTGATACTAGGCTTAAATTAAAAATCAAAATCGTCACTTCTTGGTGATGTGATGCGAACTTCTAAATCTTGTAAAAGAGACTTTGTTTGTGAAATTTCTGCAGATTCAGCTCCTGTATCGCTGCCAGGAACATATGTTTTAGATGAGTCTGAAAATTTTCAAATTCATGTTAGATTTTAAACAGCATAAGTAGGTAATACTACTAGCGGATGCCCGGGATGTTCATTCCAATTAAAAGTAAATCTCAAGACAAAAAGTAGCCGATTATCATCTCCAGCCAGGGTCCCATAGATATATATCCCTAAAGCAAAATTCAGAATTCATCGATTCAGTTATTTGCTTGTAAGCGTAACAAACTGTCTTTCGCATTGACAATATTAGGATTCTTAGGAATGAAACACGTAAATCAGGTAATAAAAATAATAAAAAGGTTAATATATTGATATTGGAGAAGAGAAAAAAGAAAGAGCCAGTCGAGGGGGCCCACTGAATATGGAAAGCTCTGGACTGTTGTTTTGAAATCCCCAAAGGACGCCTATGTCTAGAAGTGGACGTTCATCGACAGAATTAGCTCCATTGTGTTAAATTTTTGCCTAATAAAAAACCAGATTGAGATTGTTAAAATGAGACATCGCTATTATAGGGAGTGTACATATTGGTATCTCTCTCTAACTGCTGCTTTTGTTTGGAGATAGAAATTTTGAACTTTAATTATGTAATCTCAGATTGCTGAGGAGCAGCAGGCATCGAAGCAGAGAGCTTAAGCTGAAGTGTAGGTACAATCAATTATTATGCCCTGTAATTTTCAAGAACTACGTTTTTATGAAATTGTAACTCTATCATTTGGTTAGTAGTACAAATTACTACTTCAATTATTAGATTAATATTAAACTTTACCATTATCAATATTCATTGTATCAAAGGCAGGAGTAGAGCTGTATTGAACGGCCATCGAATTTGGTTGCTTAAAAATAGCGTCTGTGTAATTACTGCCAATGTCTGCATTGTTGTTTTCTTCTGTAAATGTTTGTATTTCACAATTGCCACTATGAGAATCGACTAAAGGAGGTATGTCTTTACCAACAACATGTATGTTTGATTCATTTTGTATTTCGCAATCATCTGATTTGGTTTTCTTTGAAGATCCAACAATAATAACATTTTTTCTTTTATGCGATTGCACTTTTGTGTTGGTCTCGGAATCGGAACTTTCAATAGATTCTGTATCGCTTTCATCCGCAAGATCAACTAGGAGATCGTTTCTTATTTGCTTCTTGAATTTTTTAATAGTATCCTTGCTTAATTTCTTTGGTTTACCTATGGTTCCTTTGTATCGGTTTATGAAACTGTATTTATTTAAGCGATTAGCTAGCGGTAACATGTAGGCATCCTCAGCTTGTTTCAGAGCTACTTCCATTCGCTTTTTGTAACGTCTGATTTTGGTTCCATTTTTTAAGGGCTTTGCGTTGGATGTATAGGCTTTTAAGTTTCCTGGAGAGATCCATGCTCTTGTTGCTTCAAATGCATCAAAGAATACCACATTGTAGTGTGTCTGAAAAGAAATGTAGATAGGTACGTGGTTATTAATTAAATTTTGGTCATATCATAACTAACCCTTATAAGTAGTAAGTAGTAGTAATATAAGTACCAAAAATAAGAAAACTTATTAAATAAGAAAGAAAATGTATTATATGTATATACTGGCGCTTTGAACCAAAAGGTCGGTTATTTTGAATTTTACCGCAGATATTTTTAGGTTATGTGAAAAAAAATGTACCATCAAAACTTGTAGATTCTTTAATTACCTACAACTTTGCCATTTATTATTTTTCGATAGCAGTTGTAGTTTTCCTGAAAATAGCCATAAACCGTTTACCCCCTTAATAAAAGGTCCCCTTCCCGACCTAAAAACACCCGTTCCCGACCTTAAACACATACCCATATGATGTGACAGTGTGACTGCTCATACGTACGGGTATGTCAGAGAAGCTGTCCAGCCTAGGTGTCGGGGCTATCGTCGATCATGGCCGGCCACTGGGGCCAGCTAATCCATTGATCCCGATGACTATCAAGGAAAACATACCAAGTATCACGTACTAAACTTACCATGGATGAAAGTCCTTTCACGCAACATTTGGCTGTTATATTAAGCAGTGATTGACCATGGCCGTCAATTAATTCGCTGACTATTAAGGAATATATACAGGGGCGTATTTACAAATCTAGTGCCCCGCAGTTCTTGCAGCCGCCCCTTGCAGCCTGCGGCTCCGGGCCATGGCCTTTTTGGCTCTAGGGTAAATAGGCCCCAGAACTCGTGTGACGTGACAATGTGCTTGCTTATACATCCGGGTATGTCAGAAAAGCCGTCCAGCCAGTAGAACGGCTCGATGTCGGGGCACCCGTTGACCAGTGTGATGTGACTGTGACTGCTCATACATACGGGTATGTCAGAGAAGCCGTCCAGCCAGTAGAACGGCTCGATGTCGGGGCAGCCGTTGACCAGTGTAATGTGACTGTGACTGCTCATACATACGGGTATGTCAGAGAAGCCGTCCAGCCAGTATAACGGCTCGATGTCAGGGCAGCCGTTGACCAGTGTGATGTGGCAGTGTGAGTGCTCATACATACGGATATGTCAAAGAACCCGTCCAGCAAGTAGAACGGCTCGATGTCGGGGCACCCGTTGACCAGTGTGATGTGACTGTGACTGCTCATACATACGGGTATGTCAGAGAAGCCGTCCAGCCAGTAGAACGGCTCGATGTCGGGGCAGCCGTTGACCAGTGCGATGTGACTGTGACTGCTCATACATACGGGTATGTCAGAGAAGCCGTCCAGCCAGTATAACGGCTCGATGTCAGGGCAGCCGTTGACCAGTGTGATGTGGCAGTGTGAGTGCTCATACATACGGATATGTCAAAGAACCCGTCCAGCAAGTAGAACGGCTCGATGTCGGGGCACCCGTTGACCAGTGTGATGTGACTGTGACTGCTCATACATACGGGTATGTCAGAGAAGCCGTCCAGCCAGTAGAACGGCTCGATGTCGGGGCAGCCGTTGACCAGTGCGATGTGACTGTGACTGCTCATACATACGGGTATGTCAGAGAAGCCGTCCAGCCAGTATAACGGCTCGATGTCAGGGCAGCCGTTGACCAGTGTGATGTGACAATGTGATTGCTCATACTTACGGTTATGTCGGAGAAGCCGTCCAGCCAGTAGAACGGCTCGATGTCGGGGCAGCCGTTGACCAGTGTGATGTGACTGTGCTGTGACTGCTCATACATACGAGTATGTCGGAGAAGCCGTCCAGCCAGTACAACGGCTCAATGTCAGGGCAGCCGTTGACCAGTGTGATGTGGCAGTGTGACAGCTCATACATACGGATATGTCAAAGAACCCGTCCAGCCAGTAGAAGTGCTCGGTGTCAACGCAGTCGTCGACCCGTGTTATGTGACAATGTGATTGCTCATACTTACGGGTATGTCAGAGAAGCCGTCCAGCCAGTAGAACGGCTCGATGTCGGGGCAGCCGTTGACCAGTGTGATGTGGCAGTGTGACTGCTCATACATACGGGTTTGTTAGAGAAGCCGTCCTGCCAGTAGAACGGCTCGATGTCGGGGCAGCCGTTGACCAGTGTGATGTGACTGTGACTGCTCATACATACGGGTATGTTAGAAATATCCAGTCAATAGAACGGCTCGATGTCAGGGCAGCTGTTCACCAGTGTGATGTAGCAGTGTGATTGCTCATACATACGGGTATGTCGAAGAAGCCGTCCGTTTAGTAGAACTGTTTGGTGTCAATGCAGTCGTGGACCCGTGTGATGACAGTGTGACAGCTCATACATACGGGTATGTCAGAGAACCGGTCCAGCCAGTAGAACAGCTCGATGTCGGGGCAGCCGTTGACTAATGTGATTTGGCAGTCTGACTACTCATACATACGGGTATGTCGAAGAAGCCATCCAGCTAGTAGAACTGCTCGGTGTCAACGCACTTGTCAACCCGTGTGATGTGGCATTGTGACTGCTCATACATACGGGTATATCAGAAAAGCCGTCTAGCCAGTAGAACTGCTCAGTGTCGGGGCAGTCGTCAACCATGGCCGGCCACCAGGGCCAGCCCGCGAGCCGCGCCCACACCACTGACCCCGCCGACCATTCGCTGTGGATCAGATCCTCCTCGTCGCGTATCTTAATGGGCACTTCGGGCACCGAGCAATCGGCGGCTGATTTATCTGAGTTGGATTAAATAGGTAGGTATAGAAAACAAAACAGTGACGGCGGCCGCGTAACATAATCGACCCGGCATGCATAGTCTGTTCGGCAGTATTTGTCGAAGAACAAAGCCAACCCGTAGTAATTATTGCCGAACATTCATCTACACACATTCGATTTTACCGTTAGGCTGTGCCGATTAATGTCGGTTCGCTTATGTGTGTACCTACCCTTACTGGTTATGAAATAAGATTTTTTCTATTTTTATTTGGTTAAGAAAAACAACAATGAAATTTGATAAGATAATGTCAAAAGATATCTCGATTTATAAACTAGAACCGATTTAACCAGTAATGAAAATAGTACATAAGTATAGTTACGATTCAAACTTTATGGCGGTTGGTTGTGAGGTTTGCAGGTTCGTTCGTAATATTCTATATTGGTGTAGTCAGACCCCTCCTTCCCAGTGGGCACTTTGGGCAAGTGCCCCAGGGCCCCGCGATCGAAAGGGGCCCACCTAGTTCCTGTTAGATCACCGAACGGGGCTCATAGGGACCCCATTATCCGAATATGCCCAGGGCCTCCAATAGGTAAAAGACGGCACTAAGTGCAGTGCTACACCAAAGCATTATTTTCCTGAGAATGCAAATCACTCGAAATCTCGCTGTCAAAAAGCGCACGAATCGAGCAATCGTACGAATTTTAATGTATTATCCATTTGTGCTCACAATTAACATGATGCTAGGAAAATTATCTTGAACATAACGCGGCAATGAATATCTTCGCGTAAACGCGATAGATGGTCCCAGTATTAGTTTAATAAATTGTTATATTACCTGGATTCATGCTGCAGTACCATTTGGTCGGCAGCTCATGAGAGTCGACTATATGTGGAAGATGCCGCCATTGGTTGCAGTCGTCACATTGTGCCCATAAGCCGGTTCCTCGCCGTTTTTGAAGCCAAAGTAGCTTCTGCCGATGTGTCAATTCGAAGCCAGGCTGGCTGAGCGCTTCTCGATACGAACTGAACCCAAAAAACCATAGATATTTTATCCAAAAACAGTGACAACTAGCATGTAACATCTGCAAGTAACAAGGTACTTAAGAACAAAGCCTAAAATAAGAGCTTTCGTCGTCTCGTGATGGTCCTGTGCGTGTTTTTTTTTTAATTTTCACCATCCCTTTTATATCATTAAGTTACTTTTTCTTTAGATTTGAAGGGAAAGCGCAAGAGATAATGTTAGACAATTAGCACTTTAAACCTATATGTATGCTATATGGCTTAAATAGATTCTGGTAAAAGCTGATTAGAGTTTTAAGCTGATGGCGGATTGGGACCATAAAGGTTGGTGTAACGACAGCAGTGGCGGCGCTAGACCACATGTGGACGTCGGCGACATCAAGTTCGCGAGGCCTATTTTACTTCGTGGTAAAAAGCCAAATTATAAAATAACGTATGACTAAACGACTTTTATTGTTGATAATCAAATGATGACAAAAAATAATTACAAACATACAAAATTAATTACAAAAATAGTGTTGTCAGACGCTTCCATCACGCACGTGTTCGAAAATAATAAAAGTCATTATCATCTGCTTAGCTTTTTCCCCAAATTGTTCAGGGTCGGCTACCTAAGCCAGGCCAGGAGAAATGAAAATAAATAGGTAACTTGTAAACATTTTTTGCGAGGCCCCCTCAGGCGCGAGGCCGTCGGCGGTGGCCGACGTCGCCGACGCCTAGCGCCGCCACTGAACGACAGTCAGTTTAGTGAATTGTATCAAGGAATACTAGAACTTGATCAGATAATTTAAATTTTATTTCCTCTCAATGGTGACATTCAATTAAACGAAGACTACGCTTGGATTAGTTACTCCATGTTTTGTCTTTGTCTACTGAATGACAAATGGCATTTGAGTCACATGAACAAAAGACGGCGTAACTAGTCTAAGCTTATTCCTTGTTTATTAATAAGGGGGTACCTATGCGTACGGACCAGTATGCACCTAACACTCCCAGTCTACAACCAACAACATGTCCTAGAATCAATATCTGGCCAAAGGGCCAAGTACGGCTATGGTCCCAGTCTAGTATTACCGTTTTTACAATCATAATCTGATCTCTGCTCTGAGCCGAGTTCAGAATGGGACCAATATTATGAACATACAACCTTTGCTATCGATGGATGGTTAGCCAGTTTTAACAACCTGTCATAGTTAACTGTTTCCACTCTTCTTTCCAGTAAGATAGGTGGACAAATAAGACAAAATTTTCTTATAAGATTCTTTTTGAACTTTTCATTAAAAAAGCTTTACAATGTGTAAGAAAATACACATTGCAGTGCTTATTTAATAATAAAGTAATTTCGTAAAACTAATACCTACTTAGTATTTTGCGAAGACGAGACTTCAGTAGACTGCGTTCCTTCGGCAAATGTTAATGTATGTTTTCTTGTTTTAGTGTGATCTTGGGAAGGCGGCATCGCGTTTTCTGCCTGAAAATTTATAATGACATTGTCTTTTACTCAAAAGCACGGTACAAATAACATTATTTTTATACCGTGTCAATAGCTAGACGAAGAGGGTAGGATGATATTTATTTTCAGTTATTACTTACAAAAATGAAAACATCGTCGAATAGTAAGCTTTCATGTTTTAACATGTATTATTGATGTATTATGTATGTCAAATTTATAATAACCTACTTACTGATTTTCATTTTGTGACTTTTGAATGAACAAAGAAAAATTACCTGTACTGGCTGATAAGCTTCTTCGTCTGGCTCTTGAGCTTTTTCAAGTGGCAAATCAGTTACATGCATTGTATAGTGCCTAAACTAAGAAAAAATACAGAAAGAGAAAATTAATAATTTTAGAGGGAAGCACTACCACGACTCGTTGAAGAATTGTAAAATTTTCCAGTTTTCCCGCCAAACGTTGAAAGTTGTTCGTGAGGTCATATTTTTTCTTGCTACCATAATATGTCACAGGGAACGACAAGTACATAAATATAAAACTTAAATTATATTTTTTTAAATATTTTTATTATTTTAAAATCAAGTTCCGTCCATGCTTTTACGAAATTTTAAAGTCAAACAAGAAAACTGGAAAACCACAATTACAATGACATATGAAAAAACCAAGAAAAAGACTAAATTGTTGTAACGACTAGTCATGTCAATTACTTGCCAATGTTAATAAATTCTATATAAGGTTTTATATTTAAAAACGAATCACAAAATAATATAACTTAAAATTAATTAATAAATAAGTTTAAAAATATTTTCTTGAGCTGCAGAAAGATAACTCAAATTTCTAGGCGGAAGTGCGCATCCAAAACCATCAGGCTGGTTGCCGGCTGGTCGCCATATTTGTGGCGATAATAGTTCTTGGGCTTTCCTAAATAATTTTCGTCGTTAACGACGAAAGGGAGTAATAAATACTCCCTTTTTTGTGTTGGTAGTGTGAATACTATTATTTACCGCTAGGTAAAACTTGCTTTTGAAGAAAAATATACTTTTTCTTTGTTTCGTATTATAAACATGGCTTTCTAAAATGTCGGCCTTGCACGTAATTTCGTTATCTCCTCGCGGAGTGTCCCACTCAGCTGTTTTTGTGGATGTTGGAGGAATCCAGGATGGACAAGAAATCATTAAATCGCTCTTCTCAACCACAGTCGAGGGCATCCGCTCTCGACAGTAAGAAAAATTCAGGTGAGTGTGTAAAGGTCATAACCACATCCTATCATCCATCCTTCATTACGTCAGTGATGTTATTATTTATTCAAAACAAATCTTTTAATGCTTACATTGATAACAATCCAAATTCTTAACCTGATTAGAATCCTAGTCTGTTTTGCTGAGTTTTCTGACAATCGAAGTCTTGCAGTTAAAATTTTCCTATTTCATATTTAATTGTGAAATGTGTTGAAATTTTACTATGGGTTCTTTTTAGAATCAACTCATAAGCCTTGGCCACGAAACAATAAGAAACGCGAAGGTCAAGGGTCTTCATCTAAAAATGAACCATACTGCAAGAATGCTCCTGCACAACGAGGTAGAGGTCCTGTTGATAGACGCCCACGCACTCGTGGTCCACCCAGTTTCAACGTGGGTGGAGCGCAGAATGCCAGGTGAATAAAACTTTTTTTTGGTAGCTTACATTGTTATTTATATGTGTGTGGCTCGACTGTTTTGTACACCGAGTTTCAAGATGTCGCCTACTCAGAAGTCCCGTGTTCAAATCCTGGTGGGGCAAATGTTAGTATGATGAATATGATCATTAATACCAAAGTCATGGATGATAATATAGATATGTATTCTATCTGTTACCATAGTATTCCATTACACAAGCCTTACAGTGCTTCCTTTGAGGCTAGGCTAGTTGATGTGTGTTAGAATTATTTATGCGGATTGTAATGTATGTGTTCTTTGTTCAGGCTAGAGTATGATGAAGATGAGCCAGAGATTGGCCCTGTATTTGTGCCGAAAAGCAAGAAGCAAAATCTGAACCATTTGCTGAACTTTATGTATCCCACCCATGGGGGAACAGAGCGCAGGGGTCATCAACCGCAATCTCGTCGTCCTACTTACCATAGAGTCTCTACCCGTCATGAACACGATCTCTACTTACGGGCTTAGTAAGTTAAATTTCGTTAAATACAAAATATCCGCTTTCTATTGAAAATAATGCATAAATTATAGAGGTCTATTATTATCACAATGATTGAGGTATGATAATAACATTCTTAGAAAGAAAGCTCCAGAATGTATTTTGTAGGTTCCACTCTAGTGGATCTGTAATAATTGAAGTATGTTGTCTATTTCAGTGATAGCTTCTCATTATACATTTCATTGTTGAACAATATTTATGCTTTTTTATTAATTAAACATTAATAACTTTAATAATCTGATGATATGCTTAAAAATGTCACCCCTCTACTTCTCCCCCTTTAAGTATTATTTTGCTGACAATAAGTAGGTAATATCAAAGACATTGGATCTCATTTATTCCTTAATTCATGAAAATCTCTTTAGTTAGTTGTGATAAAAGATGGACTTATCTTTACTTCTATACTAATATTAAAAAGAGGAAAGATTTGATTGTTTGTATTGAATAGGCTTCAAAACTAAAGGACTGTCTGTATCTATAAATAAAATCTCACATTTAGAATCCTCCATTATGCCTGATGAACATGGCTATAGAGTATTTTCAAAAAAGGTCAGGGTTCCATATGAGAACTTTGATAATGTAACCCAATGTGTGAAAAGAATACCAATAAATTTTTTTTTGTCGCATACGTTGCGGGAGTCATTGACAGCTCTGCTCATACTGGTCATAGCATGATATTATATAGCCCATAGCAGATAGTCTACACCAAAGTGAAGTGAGGGGGAGCCACAAGTTTATATTATAATACTAGCTGTACCCTGCGGTGTTACCTGTGGTTTAGTGGGGATATTTTCTCGCAGTAAAACGTAGACTATGTGTTAATCTAGGGTGTCAGCTAACTCCATACCAAATTTTATTAAAATCGCTTAAGCCGTTTGGATGTGAAGAAGTAACAAACATACACACTCACAAACTTTCGCCTTTATAATATTAGTATGATAATATTAGTATGATTAGTATGGATTGATCACAGTTTATTGGCCAGCTTTGACTCTTTTCAGCATCCTCTTCAAAGCTTTTAGGAAAAGCGAGTTCATGAGTCTTCATGTCCTCATATGAATTTATCTCTCTCCTTCCTAAATATGAAATGAAAGTGATTGTGGAAAGCAAAAAGTTACACAGTGCACATGTCTAAAAAATCTGTTTTAGGTCATGTAAAACATTTTTATAATTAAAATCATTTCATTCAAAGTTAATAATAGTAATTTGTTGATATATTAATTTCAGTTGTCAATTTGTAGTCAAGGAGGATGGGGATTATGATGCTAACTTGTTGGATCCTGACTTGCCTGTGAAATGGGATCAAGTAGAAGAAATTGTGAGTATTACAGTAACATTAATTTTTATTCATGTATTACATCTGAGCAAATATTACATTATTATATATATAGAATTCGAAGCAGTGATAAACATTATCTATGTTTACTTAGTTATTTCTTATGCCAGCACTTCACTTGGCTATTTGTAAACTTGAGATGAGTTTCTCCTTTTCTTTCCTCATAAAGCATGATTAGGATAGACTGTTGTCTATTTGTTAACAAATAGCAAATACGAAAAGCCAAGTGAAATGCCGATATAAGATAAATATTAATTGAAGCTTAGTTTTTCTTGGTATTAAGTTGATTATAATATAAAATCTGATAGTAATATTTTTTTAGAAATAGGTAAATGTACAATCAGTTCCACCAATACAGAAGAATAATGTTTGTATTTGTGCAAAAAGTTGTTGTTCTACTACATTCCTATTAATCACTTATAGCCATAATATTCAAAGATGTCAATTATTTAACTTTGATCAAAGTATAGCTTTCACTTTCTTTGCTATATAACAATAGAGTAGGAGTAGCCAACACAAGATTTTAAATAATGTTAAACTTATTTCGTGTGTATAATGCCTGTTAGTCCTACTAATCCTAATATTATTAATGTGAAAGTTTGTACGAAGAATGAATATTGGCACATATATTTCTTACGTGGATTAAAACATAGGAAACATTTTACCCCGAAAAAAAATTACGCCCCTGAGGGATTCTCAAAAAAAGCTAAATCGCGGGCGGCCGGTACTATGTGATAAGAGTATAATATGTGCAACCTTTTCATAACATATTTGTTTGAGCATAGAAAAGCTATGTTCATGTATTCTAATAATTTTTTTTCATTACAGGTTGTGCGCAGCACCGGCAACACGGAATGCCCAATATGTCTCGGCGCACCGGTCGCGGGGCGCGCGGGCCTATGCGGCCACGTGTACTGCTGGCCGTGCGCGCTGCACTACGTGGCCGCCAGCGAGAAGCAGCCGCCGCCGTGCCCCGTGTGCGCTGCCCCGCTGCACGTGCCTGACATGAGGCCCACCAGGACGGTGCAGTGGCCGCCGCCCGCGGACGAGGTCAGTGCTAGTGGTCGAGCGCCCTATATGCCACTTGTACTGCTGGCCGTTCGTGCTGAACTACGTGGTCGCCAGCGAGAGGCAGCCGCCGCCGTGCCCCGTGTGCGCTGCCCCGCTGCACGTGCCTGACATGAGGCCCACCAGGACGGTGCAGTGGCCGCCGCCCGCGGACGAGGTCAGTGCTAGTGGTCGAGCGCCCTATATGCCACTTGTACTGCTGGCCGTGCGCGCTGAACTACGTGGCCGCCAGCGAGAAGCAGCCGCCGCCGTGCCCCGTGTGCGCTGCCCCGCTGCACGTGCCCGACATGAGGCCCACCAGGACGGTGCAGTGGCCGCCGCCCGCGGACGAGGTCAGTGCTAGTGGTCGAGCGCCCTATATGCCACTTGTACTGCTGGCCGTGCGTGCTGAACTACGTGGCCGCCAGCGAGAGGCAGCCGCCGCCGTGCCCCGTGTGCGCTGCCCCGCTGCACGTGCCCGACATGATACCCACCAGGACGGTGCAGTGGCCGCCGCCCGCGGACGAGGTCAGTGCTAGTGGTCGAGCGCCCTATATGCCACTTGTACTGCTGGCCGTGCGCGCTGAACTACGTGGCCGCCAGCGAGAAGCAGCCGCCGCCGTGCCCCGTGTGCGCTGCCCCGCTGCACGTGCCCGACATGAGGCCCACCAGGACGGTGCAGTGGCCGCCGCCCGCGGACGAGGTCAGTGCTAGTGGTCGAGCGCCCTATATGCCACTTGTACTGCTGGCCGTGCGTGCTGAACTACGTGGCCGCCAGCGAGAGGCAGCCGCCGCCGTGCCCCGTGTGCGCTGCCCCGCTGCACGTGCCCGACATGATACCCACCAGGACGGTGCAGTGGCCGCCGCCCGCGGACGAGGTCAGTGCTAGTGGTCGAGCGCCCTATATGCCACTTGTACTGCTGGCCGTGCGCGCTGAACTACGTGGCCGCCAGCGAGAAGCAGCCGCCGCCGTGCCCCGTGTGCGCTGCCCCGCTGCACGTGCCCGACATGAGGCCCACCAGGACGGTGCAGTGGCCGCCGCCCGCGGACGAGTTCAGTGCTAGTGGTCGAGCGCCCTATATGCCACTTGTACTGCTGGCCGTGCGTGCTGAACTACGTGGCCGCCAGCGAGAGGCAGCCGCCGCCGTGCCCCGGGTGCGCTGCTCCGCTGCACGCGCCCGACATTTTGCGACGTGAGGCTTCTATACGTTTTGTATGAAAAGGACGCAGAAGAGGCATATTATGTCCGTGCCCCGTCTAAGTCTAACGTCTTTTCTATATGGCCCGCGCCTCTATCTTGGCGGCATGCTAGTAGACGCGGAAGAGAATAATTCAATCCAAAACTTTACACAAGCAAGAGCCTTTGTGTAAAAAACTCATTATAAAACTTTTAAGAAAGAAAAGACATTAATTAATTCTCAAACTAAAGAATATTTTACATTATGCAAGGTTAGAAGAGCTAGTTTTAAAATGCAATGGTACATGAAATAATATTACTAATATTAAAAATACTGAAATCAATTCATTTGTATATAAGTAGTAAACTATTCTCAGGGTGTGCGTTATTTGTGATATACATTGTATATCAAATTCTTTTTAAATACTGTAATTAAGGTTACACATGTCTTTGTAATTGTTATCTCATTTATTTGTAGATTACAATGAGGTTGGTGCGTCGTTTGAGAGGTTCAACTACTGTTGAAATTGCACCGCCACGTGGAACACTTACTGATATAAAACAATCTCCTATTTTACCTCTGGAGAGTGTGAACCAGGCACCTTACTCCAAGTTCTTTACAGCTTCAACAAAACAGGTAAAAATCATGCAATTCATTGTTCATCTCATGTGATTGACTTTAAACTTGCATTCTAAAATATTTGTTTCTGATTTTAGGTCCAGGAGATATTAGAGAGGGAAAGAAATGAAATCCAGAAACAGATAATGGCTGAAATTGATACAACTGAAATAGTGTTTATGGAGCAAGCTCTAGCTATTCTAAAGAAAAAAGAAGACGATATAAAAGAACAACTTGACAAGCCAAAAATCCAACAGAATCTGATGGAAGAAGAAGTTCCTTTAGTTTATGAAGCACAGTCAATTAATGAGAAAAGAATTGATTGGTTCGATGTACCTGATGAGGCAACAGGTTTGAATTTAGAAGAAGGCGTGAATTTACTTCAGAAACAAATAGCAGTACTTGATATAGATGCAGAAGATTCAAACCTTAACCCTGATGCACCAACTTTCATGTTAAAAAATGACGTGGATGAGAACGAGCCAGAAGAATTTCCTTTGATTGAAAATGATTTGTCTCAAGAGGAAGAAACTGTTGATGATAATCCTTCTATCACTGATATTGACAAACAGAATCAAGTGAAATATTTTTACTTTTACCAAGGTAATCTTTTATAATATTATAGATAATATCATGTTTATCTCAATTGCTGTCAAAGAAATTGGTGGTTTGCCATTTTTGGTCAATGATCCAGCCTCCTTTTCATGAGCACGGCAATATGATATGTATCTCCTTTTTATTGTGTTCAATTGTCAAATTGCTATGGAATTTGACAGCTAGACGCGATAAACCTGATACAATATGTTGTGGTGCTCATTATACAGGTACTGATCTATAGTAAGTGGTCCATATAAAAGTAAACAGTTACTTCAAACTTTTATAATCGAAAAGGCTAAATAAATAGCTATTTATGATACCAGTGCGGTAAGTTGGTTATTTCAAACGAGTGTAATGTAAGTCTTACCATAGTCACGAGTTTGTAAATACCGATTTCGCACGAATGTCTTGCAACGTTTTTCAACATATTTGCGAGAAAACAGAACCTATATCTAGCAATCCCATATTATCACTCATTTTAGTATGTGCTTCCAACGAGATTTGACCGAAATTAAAATAAAAACCGTAAAGAACACGCACGGAACTATGAATGGGAACGTGTGGTAAAATGTTTTACTGCATGCTCCATTGGTTCGCTTTCATGTATACAACCTCCGTAAATGCATTTTTTGAGCAAGTGTATTGAAAAATATAAAATTATATCATTAATTTCTTTTTGAGGAGCTTGATAGCACAAGTGGTTAGCGCGTTCGGCTGCGATCATTGAAGTTAAGCAACTTTTGCAGTGGTCAGACATTGGATGGGTGACCAAAAATTTACTCCGTGCTTCGGAAGGCACGTTAAGCCGTTTGTTCCGGTTGCATCTGCAGTCGTTACCCACTAATCCGCACTGGGCCCGCGTTGTCGGTCATGGCCTCATCTCCCTATTCCATCCATAGGGAAGTCTTGTGTCCCAGCAGTTGGGATATTAATAGGCTAATTTCGATGATTATTATTATTTTTAGCTGAGGATGGACAACAACTGTTCCTCAATAGCTTGAATGTGCGCATTTTGAATGCGTCTTGGGGCACTCTGTCTGCCGCGCCGCCAATCATTCGAGGACGCGTTTTGCATCGAGAAACTATACCACTCACAGAACAGGTGAAACGAAGACCTCTTGTTGGCTATATTTTTTAATTTTAAGCATTTAACTGTTTTAGATTTATAAATGGAAAGATAATTTTACTAGAAAAACATCCACGCGGTCCAGGCATCTGACGGGATTCGCACCCGTAGCTTCCATAATCTAGAAGATGCTCTGTTTGTTTAGTGTAATAACTAGGTCTAGTTTTTTTGAATTGAAGTATGTTAAAAATTCGTTCGTTATTATCATTATCATTTGATAATGATCTGATAGAAAATGCTGTGTTGAAGCTAACTTTCCTGCATAGGTAAATTTCTACAAGTGAACAAAGTAATTTTTGAATGGGAAGCAACTTTATGGCTCAATTACACTTGGTCTTTAGCCCGTATTCGGGTGTACTAAAGACCTTACCCGAATTCGGGCACCCGAAGCCACTGTTTACACTGGAATACGGGCTGGAAGACGGTGTCAGGTAACCAAACGAAAACAACCCGAATACGGGCGTACTCGACTGCGTTCATTTACACTTGTTGTTTACCCGAATTCCATAGGCACTCGTATTCGGGCTAACAACCAATTGTAAATGCGCCATTATACTATAGTTAAGGTATAGCTGTGGGAGGATTTGTTGATTTCGTGTCATGCTGTCAGCACTTAATAATTAAGAAATCTTTATATGAAATGGCGTTACGTTATAAAATGTATGGGGAAGATAATGTGAATTGAAGACAATATTATTATTGTTTCAGACGCGAAAACACATGCCCTATACTGCTCACTTACCTATGCATTGCTCATTTGATATTGTGGAATTGGATCTCCAACCACCATATGTTACAAACACCGCTCTCAAAAGTTTCTCAGGTTAGTTTAAAGTCTAATACACCATGTTCCCAAATTGTATTCAGTTTAATCTATTTTATTATTCCAATCAGTTCAATTCAAACTCACTGATTTACTAGCATACATCTTACACAGAAGTTTTATATAAAATTTCTTTGGTCATGGTCAAAACAGAGATAAGTCTCTGTATTCATTAGAAATAAATATGTAGAACTAATATGATTACCTTCAACATAGAAAATTGTATATTTGTTGTGTAATGTAGAAGTCATTATTACTATTTTTCTTTATTTATTTCACATAATAAATGGTTTGTATTGTATATGGATAGATGAGGGAGAGTAGAACAAAGAAATTGTCTTCATCTTGGAAGATGTATGGCTAGTTTCTTTATTTACAAGTTTGTGAGATTGAACTGATTGGAAGTATCACTTTATACTTCGAATCAGTTTAATCTGTATGAACAGCAAGCTGGAAAGTATTCGTGTCGTTCGCTATCGTCGAAGTTTCTTTGGTAGCGAAGAGCTAGTTTCTTCTTACGTCTAGGGGCGCTGTTTAGTGTCCATATAAACTTACGATGGCGATACGAATACTTTCTCGCTATTGGTTCGTGCTTGGGGTACTGATTGGAAGAATAAAATGATTTACATACAGAATAGGGATGATGATGACAGGGTATAGTAAATGAAATTATATTTAGTCATTCAGTTAGATTATCAAAAAATTATAGACACTTATTTTTACTCTTGTCAATCAACCAATATAAAGCGCATCAAAGTTTGGAAGTGGGGATTAGTGACGTCCCTTTTAAGTAAAAAATGTATAGATATTATATATCTCTGTTATTCATCTGATGTTTGGATTATGCAAATAAAGAAAAAAATACATGTCCAGATTTTTTAAATAATCGAAAATGAAGAATATGGAATAGGAAAAAAAAGTTTTTCATCACTATTGAAAGTAAATATTTATTATTTACTACCTCCCCTTTATGTCCTTCTTATTTATTTATTTCTCTATTATGGGATGCCTGGAAGAGATTGCAATAAGGCCACTTATATTTATTTATTTAAACTTTATTGTCACAATTACAAAATGGACAAAAGGCGGACTTAACGCTAAAAGCATTCTCTGCCAGTCAACCATCATACAGAAGATACAAATGCGGTTTTAGTAACGAAGTAATTAATATAAACATACTATAATAGAAAGTATTTATCTTATATATTATAATTAAATATACATGAGCACAAGACATATAAATATACACACTACACATACATATATATAAAATATATCGATGATGAGAGTGAAAGGGACTTATGAAATGAGTCTATCCAGAAGAAGTGCCATGAATTTTCTTTTTAAAAATGAACCTATTACGAGGAGAGGTCAATAAGTTCGCGGAATGGAGGTTTTGGTGGGGGTAGGTTTACTCATCCAGGTAGGCACTAGTTGAGCACCTTATTAAGAGTATATATACCAAGTTTGAACCTAATCGGGTCATTAACTTTTGAATTATCGAACTGCAAACAACTGAATCGGGAAGAAGTCAGCCAGTATGGAGAAAATTTAACACCGCGCCGTTATTAAGTTCCTTACCAAGCAAGGAAAATCCGCTCAGATCGAAATCGTCGAAAAAGTAGAAAAACTTGTATTGGAAGATGCCCGGTTGAAGAAGAAGCAGCTTGCAGGAATGATTGGAGTATGTGAAACAAGTATTTTGAATATTCTACATCATCATCTTGGGATGACTAAGGTCAGTGCAAGATGGGTTCCGAGAATGCTTACGCCACTTCAAAAACGCGAGCGCGTCGAGTGTTCTCGCCAGTTTTTAGAGTTCTGTGGATAGAGAAAGGAAGAAGTTATGGTCCGAATCGTTACTGGTGATGAAACCTGTGTTCACCACTATGAACCAGAGTCAAAGCAAGAGTCGATGCAGTGGCATAAAAAAAGGCACACCTCCTCCAAAGAAGTTCAAGTGACACAATCGGCTGGCAAGATCATGGCGACTGTCTTTTAGGCTACAGAAGGTATTTTACTGATCGATTATAAAGAACGTGGTGTGCCTATAACGGGACAGTACTACGCTTCTTTACTAGAAAGATTGAAAGAAGCCATCAAAAAAAAAGTAGAGGAAAGCTGTCAAAAGGTGTGCTCCTTCTGTACGACAATGCACCCGATGCGGCTTCGAACAATTGAACCACCCACCCTACAGTCCAGACTTGGCACCCAGTGACTATTATTTATTTCCAAAAATGTAGAAAGAGCTGCGAGAAAAAAAATTTGACGACGATGAAGAAGTGAAGTCCGCAATTTCGGCCTATTTTGACACAAAAACAAATAATTTTTTTTCGATGGTATAAACAAGTTATTTGAGAGATCTGAGAAATGCATTAGGGTTAAGGGAGAATATATTATTGAAAAGGAAAAATAGTTTGGTGTTTAATTCCAACCTTCTTCCCTCTTATTCCGCGAACTTTTTGACCTCCCCTCGTAGGTGAGTCTCTAATGGAGTCAGGGAGGCTGTTCCAGAGTCGTGAAGATTGAAGGGCAAAGGAATCGTACATCTAGCCAGAGTGAAAGAGAGGTTGGGATGGAGCATATATTGTGTACTTTCTGTCTGTCATGTTTTGTTTCTTTTGTATCCTGTGTGGTGTACTACAATAAGGTGTATAAATATGTATTATTATTTTGTAATTGCAGAGGAGTTAGTACGCCGTGCCCGTATTCGCGCCCGCCACGAGCGTGACGAGAGACGTCGCGAACGCGAATTCCGTCGTGCTATGGAAGGCCCTCCTAAGCCTGACTTCTCGTCCGCAGTTCTGTTTCCACCAGCTACCCTCAGCAGTCCGGTTGATTCTCCACTGCTGTCTACATCGCTTGAGGAACCGTCTCCTTCTCCGACAGCGTCTTCTTCCTCTGGACCGTCATTTGCTAAGGTAATTTTAAAAAGTTTTTTTTATTGCACTTTCAAAAAGTACATGTGCCACCAAGCTATGGAAGGCCCTCCGAAGCCTGACTTCTCGCCCGCAGTTCTGTTTCCACGAGCTACCCTCAGCAGTCCGGTTGATTCTCCACTGCTGTCTACATCGCTCGAGGAGCCGTCTTCTACGACAGCGTCTTCTTCCTCTGGACCTTCATTTGCTAAGGAAATTTCAAAATGTTTTTTCTTATGGCACTTTCAAGAAGTATATGTGCCACCGAGCTATGAAAGGCCCTCCGAAGCCTGAGTTGGCATCTTTTTTGAAAGTCAAAACTTAAGGCGAGACCTAAGTTTTGACTTTCAAAAAAGATACATAGTGACAGCGACAGCTATAGACACAAGTTGTGCAACCAAGTGCTACATTTCGTCAGAGGTTCTGTTCCAGCCACTGCTGTCTACATCTTTTTGTTTGTCAAAGAACATGTTATGTCAAATTTTTGTTGAACCGTTACAATGGTTGACATTAATATTGTTTTTTGAAGACCTCCGTGGCAGAGTGTTTTGTACGCCAGATTTCATGGTGTCGCTTACTCGAGAGGTCCCTCTCGGGTTCGAATCCTGGTGGGGGCAGATAGTTTGTGTGATGAATACGAGCATTTGTACTCCAGTCATGGATGTTTAATATTTATTTCTATATAAAGATACTTCATCATCATCATCATCAGCCTATTAATGTCCCCACTGCTGGGGCACAGGCCTTCCCTATGGATGGATTAGGGAGATTTGGGCCATGACCCACCACGCGGGCCCAGTGCGGATTAGTGTTGATAGTGATTTTTGGTCACCCATCCAATGACCGCCCCCTCCGAAAGTTGCTTAAGTTCAACGATCGCAGCCGTACGCGCTAACCACTTGCGCCATCGAGCTCCTCTAAAGATACTTATGTACCTATATATGTACTGTATATGTATTCTATCCGTTACGCTAGTATCCCATAACACAAGCCTTACAGTGCTTACTTTGGGGTTAGGCTTATTGGTGTGAGTGTTAGAAATATTTATTTATTTATTGTTCATTTCTAGATGGCGAGCACAAGCGGCACATGGCGAGTGAGGCGCGTGGAAGCCCCGCCACCCCCGCCGCCTGAAGACGAGCCTTCCGCTCCCAGGACCCTGAGCCTCAGCGACGCCATAGAAGCCGCACTCCAAGCCTCTCCCGCGCCGTCCTCCAAGAAAAACAAAAAAACTAAGGCCAAAAAGATCTTATTCGCCACTGGCATGCAACGAACAGACTAATGAGACCTTAGCTCCCACAACCCCTTAGCCTTAGCGACTCCATAGAAGCCGCCCTACACGCCCCTCCCTCGCCCTCCTCCAAGAAAACAAAAAGACTAAGGCCACGAAGATCTTTTTCACCGCCCGCATGTAACGTACAGATTAACAAGATAACAAGAGAAGTTGAGCTTATCCTTCATTAACTATTTGCATAAAGAATTTCCTTTATTTTCAGCTAGATGTTAACATATATTTATCATGTATAGTTAAAATATTTATTGCAGATTATTTTCCAAATAATGTTTATATGTCACAGGTACTACTGTTATCGTAATCGTTGAGCTACTTTTATATTATTTTATTGAAAAGAAATTGACAGTTTACTTTTATGGTCTGCGCATATGAGAGGCTTTTGTCCTCAAATGCCCGCCGTGGACTTGTCACGGACTCGACGAACACGATGTGCGAACGAAAATTTAGAGAATCGCACGTTAAGCCTATTGTATACATCGGATTGAGCGCGCAATGAGCAATCATGAGATCTATTTTTTTCGGGATGTCCCTGTACTTTTGTCAAGTGCAGTCTCTCGGTGTCCTCGGTTATTTGGGGAATTTGCCCCTACTTTTGTTCTCTCCTTGTGTGCGTTACTCTATGCAGTTATAAGTAATCTATTTTGGCGGACAGAAGTTCCTCGTCTGCGCAGGCCCTTACTGCTATCATTATTTTTTTAAGATACTTTAACTAATAAAATAAAGTTTTAGTGATCCACAGGGCTGATGTACGTAGTTGATAATGACAAACTGAATATTATTAAATTTTTGGTATTAATGTGATTTACCTACGATGAACATTTATGTATCGATTTTTAAAGTGATGTTTAGTTGACGGTAGTTATAGCTTTCAAATGTCTACATGATATTCAGTGAATAAATGAATCATCAGCATTGTATGTTTTTTAATTTGTAACTTCCGAATTCTTCGGACTGCTGAATGTAATCAGTGTGGACGTGAACTAAGGGTGGGCATTTTTAGAATAACGATGCGCGATAACGATGCCGGGTTTGGATGCGCGCATATGATGCGACTGGATGCCGATGCCATCTAGTTTTTGTCAACATTGCTATAGCAACAGTGCCACAAATTTATCTGTACCGGTGAAGATGTCGCTAGCGATGAACAAATTTGTCATTAACCTTTTGAACGCCACGGTCGGCACTGGACGACAAATGAAAAAGTGCCCAACACGCCACCGTCGTGTATGGCCGACGAGAAAACGACATTTTTAAAACACAAAATAAACATACTAAATCAACTTTTCTGTGTTTCTTTTTCCTATTATTTAAAAGTACTTTAATGATGTATTGTAAAATGGCACGAAGATATATCCATCAGTTACATTTCACTAGCAAAAATTATCACTAAATATTGCTAACCGAAATGGTGTTCTCCTCACGCCACAGTCGGCAAGACACGACAGCTAGTGATGGGTAAGTTAGGTAAATTAAATTTTGAATTTATGAAATATTTTATTGAAAGCAGCTTACTACTACATCGATAATTATTTTTTAATAGCAACTATTTGTATCTGAATATTCTTAATGCGTAATATTTATGAAATTATTGAAAAATGATTACTATTTATATCTATCGATCGATAGTTAACTGTTCACTCTCGCGCATCCCTACGGAACAGCGCATAGACAGTTACCTGTACGCCACAGTCGGGAAGACACGTCAAGCGGTGACGTCATTAGCGCTACGGGAGACTGCTAGTGATTTCCTATCCTATTATAATTTATAACGGGGAGTGTAATATGAATAAAAATGGATAGCAGTCAAATGACTACCGAAGAACTCCTTCGTGTGTTAGGAAGTGTAGAAGAGGATGATGAATTCTCTGAAACCACATCTCTACACGAGGATGATTTAGAGGTGAGTTTTATTTTGTTTTAAATCTTTCTTTAATTGATTTAGGCGGACTTTCACCAACACACGCTAAACGCGTTTAAGACTTAAATCAATTTAGGCAATCATGCCATCTGTGTCATTTATTTGAAATTGACAGTGACAGAAGTAGGATTTAAACGAGATTAGCGTTAAACGCGTTTAGCGTGTGTTGGTGAAAGTCGGCCTAAGTATAGTACCTACGTACCAACAGTTTTTGTTTAATAACATGTAAAACTAGTGGTTCTAGAACAGTTAGACCTCGCTTTGCGTTAGATAAAATGCTTTAATGCAAATTTTAATTAGGTACATTCGAACCAATTGAATCATGACTCACTTTGCTGACCATTCCTTTGTAATCATAAATGTAGTTAAGTTATCTTCGCTATTATTCATGTTGCACTTAGAACGTTTTCAATATGAATAAAATGCGGTATTACGGATCAGATATGTATGCAATTTTAACCTTTGTTATTACTGCATTAGATATGCTTTAGACAAAACAGATCAATTTAAATTTCTATTAAGATGTCATTCATAATCCAAACTCTTTTCACTACGGAGAAAAGGTATTATAATTTAAAAAATAAAGTGACTAGCACTAATAAATAAACTTTGTAGGTAGATGTATTCTAGAAACAGCTTTTCAATTTTTTTACGATACTAAAAAAATAAAAAATTAAGGGGGGGGGTTCCTCATACATGGAACTGAAACTATTTCTTTTTCATCTAACCTTTTTTTTTATTCTTGACGGGGAAACGCTTAGCCTTCATCATAACTGATGTTAAGTATTGATAAGGCTGAAGATGGAATCGCGTTTCTCCCGGAATCCTCAACCACTGAGGACTTGGCTATCTTATCTCTAACTGTCGAAACACAACAATGCTGAAAACATTGTTGTTATGGTTAACCTATTCGTGTGGGGTGCCTATAGATAGGTCTTAGATTTATTAGACTGGCGTGGACCAGAGAGATTGTAATGAGCGATGACCATAATTTGTACATTATATAAAAAAAGCCAAACATTATTATACTCCTCCAGCAGCGTCGTAAATAGTAGTTAGCGATTCGCTTTTGTTTACAGTCTATCACGGATAGTCAAGAAAGAATCAATGTCTCACCTGTCCTGCCATCAACATCTCACACCGGCCAAGAAACACCTGACTACAATAGGGCCTCAACATCTGCATCATCATCAACAACCCACCGTGACCGTCGTCGAAGCCAAACCGAGACGTCCTTCCAGTGGACTTCAGCACAATACGTGGCTGCATTGACTAGCTTTGATGAGTTTGCGTCAGGTCTTAATTTTGAAGTAACAGAAAATATGACTGAATTAGATACTTTTTTAAAATTTTTAGATAAAGACTTTATGTCGTTCATTGTACAAATGACAAATGAGTATCACTCACGTTTTGTACTAAACGTAGACCTTCGTATTCATTCTCGCCTACAAAGGTGGCATGATGTATCTATTCCAGAATTGTACATATTTTTTGCTATATTAATGTTAATGACTCGAAATCGTCATCTGACTATAGAAGAGCACTGGAGTACAGATTTGTTGTTATCATCGCCCATTTTTTCTCAACTTATGCCTAGAAATCGCTTTTGCACAATTCTAAGCATGTTACATTTTTCACGGCCAAGTGAAGAGACTAATGTATTATCTAAAATCAATACTTGCATTAATCACGCTAAGGAAAAGTTTAAAAAAAATATAACACCGTATAAAAATCTATGCATAGACGAGAGCATCGTTCCCTTCAAGGGACGATTATCAATTAAGCAGTATTTGCCAATGAAAAGGAATCGCTTTGGAATAAAGTTGTTTGTAATGTGTGATGTAGAAACAGGCATTATCATTGATTTTATTGTTTACTGTGGCGCAGCTACTCAAATAATAGATCCTTGTAATTTAGGTGTTGGAGGCGCTGTTGTCTCAACTTTAATAAGGGATTATTTCGGTACTTATCGTCATCTATATATTGACAACTGGTATACTAGCCCGGCATTGTTGAATTACCTCCACGAGAATAATATATACGCGTGTGGTACTGTAAAAAAAAACAGAATCGGTATGCCACGCTTTAATACTCTTAAGCCTGGGGAAGTCCAAGCGCAGTATTCTCCTCCAATGACAGCTCTAAAATGGCGAGACAAAAAAGATATATTTCTTTTGTCAACGATTCATAGTGATGTTATGGCGCCGTCATTAAAAGAGGACAGAGCGACGGGGCTCCCAGTTATGAAGCCACAAGCCGTTTTGGATTATTCCAAAAATATGGGAAGCATTGACACGGCTGACATGCTACTGTCTTCTATACAGTGCATAAGGAAAACCGTAAAATGGTACAAAAAGTTGTTTCTGCACATAATTGATATGCACGTATTGAATTCTTTTTTCAGTTTTCGGCAAATAAAAAACATGCCAAATTTACATTTTTCACAATTTCAGTTGAGTCTTATTCGCCAAATTATAGAAAATTTTCATTCTTTCAATACTTTACCTTCATCCATAAGCAGCAGCCACAACAATCCACTGCGCATACTACCGAAAAACTACAACGATCACATGCCGACCCTTATGGGCAAATACCAACGCTGTAGGCAATGTGCAATTAAAAAAGAGAGAAAAGAAACACGGTACACTTGTAAAATATGCAAAGTGTATTTATGTGCTGCTCCATGTTTCAAAAAATATCACTCTTAATTAATTATTCTGTTTATTTTTAGACAATGATGATCATTTTAAATTTTTTGTTATTTTTTTGCATTTACAATGCTATTCTGTCTGGAAAATAATATACCAGAAAAAAACAACCGGTCAACCATGGAGCTCAGCTGGGATTCGAACCCAGAACTTTTCGCTATCCGGGCGACTGCTCTAACCATTGAGCTACCGAGGACCTAGCTAAACTCGTCGAATTTTTCCAGTATATTTGCACTTCAACGTTTAAGCCAACGTTACAACGTTGGGTTCGAATCCCAGCTGATGAGCTGAGCTCCATGGTTGACCGGTTGTTTTTTTTTTCTGGTATATATTTTCCACAATGATGATCATATTTTTTAAATACGCTTTTTTAAAACGTTTACTTTTTTATAAGTACCTACAATACGGAATTTTGAAATATATTATTTATATTTATGTTACAATCTAGTTTTACCAATGTTTTGTTAATTTGCTGTGATAAGATAATTTAAGATTAATTACATAGGTTACAAAACAATCGATATCGTGTCCCGCTTCACTATTTCGCGATTGGTCGGCGGCGGCCGAGACTCGCTCGCTCGACCGACAGTATTCGGCAGTGACGAGTGTTCGTGACACGTGTGTAGAATTAATAAGTGGATTATTACCTTTTTTTTGAGTTGAAATGGCGTCCAAGAGTATGTGGCCTTCGAAACGCTATTTATTTACGGCAAGTTGTGATTTTATTACATAATACTTACTGTTATTTGTTTTAAATTTATAGGAAAAATTGACGAGAGCCAGTCAATTTTGACTACCGCTCACTATAGCCAAGACGAAGTAGACGTCATGGACTTGCCATCAACAATATGCGATAGCGAATATCATGCCTATTTGCCAGAGTGTCAGTCGCAGTTACGAAGCTGCGATAGTACGCCAGATCTTTATAGATCTACTGGGACACAAACTTTATTAAAGACTACAAATAAAAGTACACAATGCGAGCGAATTGTAAGTCCAATCAAAGAAACTGCACAAATTTTGGCTGACGGTTATTTTGCTGGAGATGAAACTCTTAAAAAGAAGTTTATCGAATGCTACATAAATGTGGTCTCGTCCATAATTCGTGTCATCGATAAATAATATTTTTACAGTTTAGTTTAATAAAAAATAAACCTCTAATTTGTTCGACTGATTATAATAAATAAGAATTGTTCTGCGATTATTTGACTGATGTTATGTTAATAACAAGAAATGATAGCTGTGATTACTTAATTGCTTATATAATAAGTAGTAGGTAAAAGTTGTATTTGTGATAATTTAACTGATTTTACAATAAGTATTAAGAAGTTGTATCTGTGATTATTTGACTAATGTTATATTAATAAGAAGAAATTATATCTGTGATTGATTACTTGACTGATTTAATAATAGTAAAAGTTGTGTTTATGATAATTTAACTGATTTTACACTAAGTAATAAGAAGTTGTATGTTTATTTGACTGATTTTATATTAATAAGAAGAAATTATATCTGTGATTGATTATTTATCTGATTTAATAATAGTAAAAGTTGTATTTGTGATAATTTAACTGATTTTACACTAAGTAATAAGAAGTTGTATGTTTATTTGACTGATTTTATATTAATAAGAAGAAATTATATCTGTGATTGATTACTTAACTGATTTAATAATAGTAAAAGTTCTAGGTATGTGATTATTTTACTGATCTTATTAGGCTGTAGAAAATTGTGTTTGTGGTCAATCAATAAAACTTTCAAGATCTGAACGCTTTTGTTTCATTGGGTTACCAAAATACCTACTTATATTAGAAATTTCATTAAGTGCGCGAAGGCACTTTTGAGCTCCTAGATTGAACTACTGTTCTAAACAAATGAAATTAAAAAAAATAGAATGTTATCTCTTAAATAGTCGAATAGTTCGTAGCGGCCTCTGATTTTTTAGATGTCATTGATTTTACTTAGAAATTATTCTAAACCAAAAAACGTCGAAAATCGCTTTAAGATCGCTGTGAATCTCACCTATACGATAATATTATTGAACAAAATTTATACCAGAATAATTGTTACTTCATAATATTTTATAATGAATTTATTATCTTATTTCGATAAAAACTATAAATACAACTGCAAAATTACTACAAAATATGTGCCGGCCGTCCGAACTCAGCTTTTTCTCGCAGAGTGAAAATTTGTTATACTAAGCATGAATTTATTATCCTATTTCCATAAAAACGATAAATACAACTGGAAAATTACTATAAAATGTGAAAAGGGGCATTTTACGCAAAAATCATGATCGAGATGTAACAGGCCTCTTTAAGTAAAAACGGAGAAAATCAACTAAAGCTAAGTAATTAATTAGTACTCTAATAGACAACCCTTTCTTTACCTTGTTGTTTATAATTTATAATAATAATTATAAGTTTACTTGAAATGTCACATCATTACCTCGCACGCAAGAAAGCTGTCAAAGGTCGTGCCAACCACGCCAGAGTCGGGTCTTCCCGACAGCGAATGCCTACACGAACGAGATTAGTGATGTATCTTATTATTACCTGATTTATTCGTTTGTAGTTCTAATGTCTACTTTTACTTTGTATAGAATTTTGTAACTGCTGTTAAATAATACGAAATCAAAAAAATATATTTTATTTCAAAAATATGTGACGAATAGCAGAGATTAAATCGGTTATTGACAACTTATCGATAACATCGTTGGCATTCCTATTTTATTTGTAGGTATTTGCTCTGAATTTATGGCTTGGCGTGGGAAGGGCGCCGATGCGTTTGAGCTCTGGCGTTCAAAAGGTTAAAATGTCACAATGCTGTGGACAAATTGTAGTTCCAATGAAAAGTTTGTGATATTACGATACTGTCATCCTCTTGGCATTATTGGCATCGATGCGATGCCGCCATCGGTGCTGGGATCCGATGCAATTTATCTGATAACGATGCGCATCGATTTCACAAATATCTAATACGCCCATCTCTAACGTGCAGCTCACTTATTTTACGTGCAAAAGACTTAATAGTGCTCATTTTAAAGCTTACTTATACAGCTCACTTATTTTACGTGCAAAAGACTTTTAGTAGTGCTCATTTTAAAGCTTATTTCAAGCACTACAAAACCCTTTTGTATTAGGCGCTTTGCAGACGACGGGGCGGGGCGGGCTGGTCAATTTCGCCGCGAATAATAGCACAAAGCGAATCCTATACTTCAAACGCACACAGCGGTCAAAAAGACCGCGCCTTGGGTGCCCGGCGGGTACTGGCGGCGCGGCATGTCCGCGGCTGCCCGCCGTGGATCATACAAACCAGTTTATATGCAGTAACGCAGACGGCGGCGCGGGGCGGTCATGGACTAGGACGAACGTCCTACTGACCGCCTCTGCCCGTCGTGTGCTTTGTGTACGCGGCGCGGGCAGACGTGGTATTTATTGCTTCGCGGACAAAATGCCCGCCCCGCCCCGTCGTCTGCTCAACGCCTTAGGGTGCGGCCAGAGTGCACTCAGATTCAGATTCCGAAAACAAGCGCGAGAAATGAACAGTGTAGTCGAAGGGTACGGCCAGAGTGCACTCCTGATTCAGATTCAGACTCAGAAAACAAAGCGCTAGAAAAAGCAGGCAACCTGCTTAGACTACACTGTTTATTTCTCGCGCTTGTTTTCAGAATCTGAATCTGGCCGTACCCTTAGGGTGCGGCCAGAGTGCATTCAGATTCAGATTTCGAAAGCAAGCGCGAGAAATAAACACTGTAATCGAAGGGTACGGCCAGAGTGCACTCCTGATTCAGATTCAGACTCAGAAAACAAAGCACGAGAAAAAGCAGGCAACCTGCTTAGACTACACTGTTTATTTCTCGCGCTTGTTTTCGAAATCTGAATCTGATTCTGAATCTGAGTGCACTCTGGCCGCACCCTTAGAATGCATAAAATGCATCTGCTCGCCGCTAGATGGCATTGACTGAAATTTAATCGATGTGCGATTAAATTTCAGACACAATAAAGAACGACTTTGATCTTTAATATCTAGCTTAATATTGCATTTAGAATACTTTATAAAAAACCAAATTGTTCATTGTTTTACCTGCTACAATTTTGTTCTTTATAAAATTTTCGATAAAACGTATAATTTTGGAGATATTTGCAAAAAACCGATGAAAAACGTGAAATAATTGCGAATTTTCAATTGCCTTGGATGGATTGGATTGGATTTTTTGAAAAACTTTATAGATGATTTTTTGCTTAAAATTAGGCCTTCTATCGATATGCGAGGTTATTTTGAAAAAAATATAAATTCACCCCCGAGAAGGGGTGACAACCACCCCCATGGTGGTTGCGGAGTTGTCCTTCTTTTCGGTACTGATAGCAGTGTTGCCACACGCCGGGCGCTGTGTTATAGACAAAGGAGGTCAAAGTAGACTATCAATTACTCGTTGATGTTAATATATTTTTAAAGAAAATAAATGTCATTCTGTCAACTTATGTTACCGCAGGGCTGGTTTTTATTTATTTCATTTTCCGTTTTAACGATAAAATAAAATATTACTATGTTTCGCCCAATATATTGAAAGCCAACAACCTTTCCAATTTTATTGTTTTCGTCTTACGAAATTTCCATTAGGTTACTTGTCCTGACGCGATCAGGCCACGTGTCCTGCGCGAGTTTAACATTTTTTACCCACTACAAAAAAAAGAAGTGTACAACGCCGCTAAAGAAATTTTGATTTCAAAAAATGCTAATTATTGTTTATAGATATCATGCGCCTTAAGAAAAAGTAATATTTTAACTCAAAAATCATTTTATTTCTTACAATTCGTTTAGGTGTTTAGTTTGATGTTAAGTGGTGATAAAGTCCAAAAGTGAAGATAGCTAGTACAGCAGTTATAAACTGCTACACCAAACATCCTTACCTTGCCGGCCTGCAAAAATGCTTCTTCACGCCTCTCTTAACCCCTCGGCTGTGAACATCTAGGTATTTTGTTTTTCACTGATGGAAGCTATCCAGCCGATTTTACTCTTATATTCGAGTTCTACTGCGTACAGAAGTGTGCCTGGGTGTACCCAGGCTTCATTTATGTCTTAAATTAATCCCGAATAGTTTCTCTACAAACTTATCTATATATTAGACGTGTAAATTAAACACCATTACTAAATATGATAAAATGAAAATAATTTTGTCAACTCGTGGCAGAAATTATCCCCTTACAGATATGATGGGTTAAAAGACCCCAGATTTTAGGAAGGAGAGACCACGTGCGCGGGCAAAGAATTCCACTTACGAATAGTACGACAAAGAAATGAGTCACCAAACTTTGTTCGTGTAGGAATTTATATGGAAATCAAGAAAAATAAATATTAATATGGGCCGAGGCTGTATGGACATAGTTTCTTCAGTCTTCCAATGGAAGAATTTAAATAATTTAAAGTCATACAAAATGTCAAATCTTTGATGTGTCTCGGATTGGTTTTGTGATTGTGATGTGAATGTGAATGAATTTCTGTATTAAACACATCATTGTATTTGTACACACAATATTTTATTAGCTTCTCGATCGATTGTTTTTACAGCTATTAGGATTCATGTTATTTTAGAATAGTTTGTCATTATGTCGCTTTCGCGGACAGACTATGTTTTTGAGCCATTTAAGGTTACTGAAGTAAAATATCGAGGTTCTGACTGGCCTAGACCACGAAGCGGCCATAGGATAGCGTGCGACGATGCAAACATTTATTGTTTTGGGGGTTACAATCCATCTTTGCCATTATCAAACTTACAAAGGGATAATTCAACGTGGAGTCCAGCGCGACCTCTTTTCAAAGAACTCTGGAGTTTCTCAATTGCTAGTCGAAAATGGAAGCAACACAAAGTAGTAGAGAATATGCCGGAAGAATTAGCTTCTAATGCTATGTGTATGAATGGCAGATTTTTAATGGTATGATTTTAATTGGTCATAATATCAATACAACCCAAATATTCCATCATTGTCTTTCAAAATAAAATTTCATTTTAGATATTCGGTGGCACGGGTGCACCATTTGGCAACAGATGTAGTAATGATGTAATTGTATGGCGGACTTGTCCAGGGGATGCAAGATTGCAGGTCCTGGATGTGACTGGAATCAGACCACCAGGGTTGTATGGTCAGGCAATACTATGCCATGATGGATTTTTCTATACTATTGGTGGGACAAATGGTTTCGCATACAACTGTGATATTTATAGGTTAGTTTAAATATAATTAGATATTGAATCTTTATGGCTATTATAAACCCTTTCCTTTAGTTGTAATAACTTTTGGATATTTCAGGTTAGACTTGAGGACTATGATTTGGGAACAAGTCTTTGTTGGCTCTGGTCAAGAAGGTGAGCCTATAGGAAGATACAGGCATGAAGTAGTCCGAGTAGACAATAAACTTTATATCATTGGAGGTGGAACTGGGGAATGGGCATTTGAACTGATGGAACTGCCAATGTATGATCTCGAAACAAAAACATGGAATATCTTAACACCAAAAGCAGATGACACCATAAAAGACAGTCCAGCACCATTACCAAGAAAATGTCATAGTGCAGTCCAAATAGATACACCAAATGGTGTTCAAGTGTTTGTAGCAGGTGGCTCAGATGGTCAAGCAATTTTTGAAGACATATGGAGGTTAAATTTACCAGATCTCCAGTGGCATCTTATGCAAAAGACAGTATTGCCAAATCCTTTATACTTTCATTCGTCAACAGTGACTTCATATGGTTGCATGTATGTTTTTGGTGGTATAGAACCTAAAGAGGATGCTTCAAGCCGTAATAATATACTGTATAAAGTGTGGTTGTGTATACCAAAGCTTAGTGAGATTTCTTGGGAGGCTATGCTTAATTTTCATCCAAATTTAGATCAAGTAGGAAGAAGAACTCTTTTAAATATTGGTATTCCCATTCACTTTGTGAACAGATTACATCCAGAACCTAGTTAATTCTCTAAAGCAATATTATATTTTTTTGCAAATTGACATTGTATAATTCAGTATAGTTAACCAATTAAAATAAAGGGTAATTTGCTATGTCAGGATAAACCTAAAAGTACGCAAATTTATTTTTTCATAGAAATAAGAACTTTTCTTAGTGAATTTCTATTTAAAGTATTAAATGGTAATTATTTTTGTCTGCAATCAAAAAGCAGAAATGTTCAAATATGTGTGTGTGCCAATAAAATGAGTACCTACCTACCTAACTTGTAAAGTGACAAAATGGTAATACTACAGTTCACAGCATAATACAACAAATTATTATATGCATATTTAATTTAAAGCAATATATATTTAATATAAAGTATTATTTGTATTCCCACAAAAACAAATCTGGAAAAACACTTTTTTATTATAATGAAGCTACAGATCTGTTTGTTATTTTGCAATCTGTATTAACTATGCAATAATTATTTAAATACAAAGCCTACAGCTTGTGAAACTTTGAAATGACTTTTTTTATCGAACACCAGACTTTTGTAATGTTTTGAAGCTAGTGGAGCTCCCATGGATTAGCTATATTGACGGAATGTCTGTTACGCCTTGTTAAATCGAATCAAAGTTCGAGGTGCAGCTTGTGACACAGAAGGAATTTTGTAATTCACAAAAAAAATACTAACAAAAAACGCGGCCACTATGCGATTTTCGAAGCGAGAAGCGAAGTTTTATGCTAAGCAACTGCATCGACCTAGTATTATGTTTCATGAAATATGATAACTAGGGAAAACGTGGACTATATAATGAGACGATGTATTGGATGAATAACACTATATTATATAATAATAAAAATATATACACAGCAACAAACGAGCGAACATACAAGACAACAGCAATCAACAATAAGTGACAAATTGACATTAGATGTAAAAAAAGGAATAGGTAAAACTCTCAGTGGCGACTGAATGGGGCTCCATCAGGAGTTTTTGTGAGGAGATCCACTACGCGGACTCTACCATCTGGGCCCCTTTGACGTTCACACGTCCTCGTGGTAAGCTAGTCTGCTATGACGATCACGTCCCCCTCTTTGCGGCTGGTCGCGTTGGTTCATGGTCCTCTTGGTCGTAAGGTAGGCAAATATTCTTTCAGCCACCGTGTCCAAAAATGGTCTGCTAGCCTGAGAACCCCACGCCAGTCGCAACGTCGAGACAAGTCTGCGGCACTGAGGTCCTTAGTCCATTTTGCCACTGACGACGTCCCGATTAGGAAGTGGAAGGGTGTTATAATAATAATAATAACTGTTTTATTGCCTCCAAATTATGATACACTTATTAAAACGTACCACCTAAAGGAAAAACAAAATTACAAGTATGTATCTTAATATAACATTAAGTGGAGGCAAGAGGACGAGGCTTAGCGTAAGCGGAGCCAAGGTATGCCTTGGTCCGTGCTGGTTTTCAGCCCCAACCTTTTCCCTGCGATGTTATGCGGGTCACAGCCAGTAATAAAGAACTGCCAACTATTACACAAAAAAACTTGCATTCTTACAAACTAAATAGAGAAGGTACTGCTCTTATATCTATATGTGAAATGTAGGTCCTGGAGTGTACTGTTTGTGTGTGTGTGTGTGTGTATGTGTGTGTGGTAAATAATTGTATATTGTGTAGGTACATGCGTCAAATTGATAGAAAATTTCAGAAACTAAGAAGGTTAGACAAGGTGGAAAAACCGAATCAAAGGCAAATCTTTCCAGTGTGCGTGTCTCAAGTTCTCCGCTGCAAGTTGTTTTTGCAACAACGCCTTTTTATACTTCGCTTTAAAATTCTGACCGCTGGTTATTGACTCCGGGGCCTCGGCGGAACGTACGAGTAGGTAAGGGGCTTAGAGTTAACTATAGCCTCGGCTTTTGTCAGTATTGTCGTGAACACATCCTCCTTGGGGTAGGGCTTGCCTTTTAAGCAGGCCTGGAGTGCGTTCTTGACTGTGCGCACTAACCTTTTCCAGGACTCGCCCCAAAGGGGGAAGCAGGCGGAATGAAGTGCCATTCAATATTGCTGTTTGTAGCAAACTCTGTCACCGATTCGTCGAACAAAGATACGAAGAAAGATAAGAAGGACTGGTTCACTATCTTCCCCAAGCGATGAGCTACAAAAGGTTTGTAGTTACGCGCGTCACTAAGAATCCATTTAAGGACAGTAAAGGAATTTGTCGAAAAGATGGTTTCGGAGGGTTTGATACGATTTGAATTTTCGATATTCCGCGCGAAGCGTGTAGCCATGAGTGCCGCTTGGAGTTCTAGTCGTGGTATAGATACCGGTTTCAAAGGGGCGATTCGCGCTTTGCTGCCTATTAGCCCTACCGAGAGACTGTGCCACTGACGTACGTAATGCGCCTATACGCGACACATGCATATGTTTGCTTCCCGCCGTCGGGCAAGACGTGCAATTGGACATCAGTGTGGTGGATGAACTGGACATATAACATCGTGGGATTTTAATCTTTTAAATGCCGGGACCAAGATTTACACAATGATGTATATCTCCCGTTGCGGCCCAATCAATACCCTCACGCCAAATTCAGATCGTGACAGGCATAAGAGAGCCTACGGGGTCGTACAGTTGCATTACTTTTGAGAGGAAGATGCGTTTGGTAGTGAAACTCCACAATAGAGCGAAAAGTCAAGGTATCTTGGGCGGGGTTCCATTTTATGCCTAGGACGCCTACTTCCCTATTAGGAGGTAGGTCAGCTTCGGTTGAGTTGCTTCACAACTGCTTGGGAATTAGGGAAAGTGCTTCTGGTACATTGGACGTCGACGAGCGCATTTCAGTTTTTTTAACGGTGACTATCTCAGCTGCTATACGTGCAGCGCGTGAGCCGTTGGCGTGGCTACCTAAGTACTAACCGTATAAAATTGACTTTACACGCGTCTGGATAGACTCTTTTGCGTTTTTATTCTTAAGGTACAAACCAATATAAAGACTGCACTGCACACTGCGCCGTAAATCATTGATGCCATTCACGAATTGAACCATCGTCCGCGCGCCAAAGGAACCGTTGAGCGTTCCTATCATTGGTTAAAAAAAATATTTGTAGGAACATTTCCTTTATGTCGGCATTGAGGGCTACCGCACCTTCCCGGAACCGAAACTGGATGTCAAGAAGACACTGGAGAAGGTCCGGTCCTTGAAGAAGAATGCTGTTGAGAATTATTTCTCGAGTTGACGCGGCAGCATCATTAACTGCTCTAAGTTTTCGCTGTTGCGGATGGAAGACTCCGAATATAGGGAGGTACCAACTGATTGGGAGGTTAGGATTTACGAAAGAAGAACTTTCAGTGGTGCTTTTTATGGTAGGTGTTAGGGTTGCATTCTTCAGCGTCGCCTCTAGAAATAATGTCTCCGCTGAAGTTTTGAAAAGCTAAGGCAAAATCTGGATTCTTAGACATTTGCCTTTCAAGTGACTTGAGTCGTGACAAAGACTGGGGATAACTATCTGGAATCAAAAACTTGCCTAGAATCAGGCAAGTTTTTGATCCACGGAAGCGACTTCAAAGCGACCGTCCTCGAGTCCCTAGATACAATAGTAATCTGTAGTAACGGGTTGCTCATCGTCGTTTGGCTGTCGGACATTTTTTGTTATGCCTATGGAATCGATCTCGTATTGGGATTTAATAAGGACATCTAGTTTATCGCAGCCACACGAATGGTTGATAACTTCTATGGGATTTGATGAGGAAGAGAGCGCACCATCCAATAGCCAACCCAGAAGAGTTTTTGACGCTACCGGCTCGTTTTTCTGTCCCGTACGGACTTCGAGACTTAGTGCGAATCGGTGGCGCTTATGAGAACAGTGGGTAGGGTTACCATAGGGTTACCATCTATATCAGGAAGGATGCCTGTCTAGGATAGATAAAGCGCCTGATGTTTCAGAAAAAAACCTGTCTAAAATAAACAAAAACCTTTTGAAGACGACTAAAGAAACTATTAGTTTCTTTTGTTGGTTTAATGCACTGTTGAGATCTTCCATAGTAAAACTCGTATTAAATGTTTAATCACATTTTTATTAATAAGAGCACAATCAACAGAATTACATTTTTTCGTTTTTCTCATAGTACAGATTAAGAATATAATTTTCAGTCATAGAGTAAAGCACAGGACACACTATCATGGTATTAAAGGTGGTAATACACATGTAACAATTTTCCCCCTTTAACAAAATAAACTATTACAAATTCAATCGTTCCACTTTCTTTCTTACCCTAGTACTCCTTCTTAGAGAGCTTTCTGATTCCTTTGGTATATCTAAATTATCCTTAGTACAATCATTACTTATATAGCTATCATTATTAATTAAACAATCATTATTAGTAGAACCGACATTATTTTTTAAATTTCCATTACAATCATCACTTCCATTAGTTTTTATATCATTATTTTTAATTATTGATACATTTGTCTCTAAATCAGCATTATTTTTATCCAAGAGAGGAGTCTCATTTATTTTGTTCGTGGTTTTCATCAACTTTTCACTTGGATAAATAATGGGAGAGCATGACTGTGGCACATCTAATTTATCCAAACTATTACATCTAGATATCTGTTGCGGTATTTCTTGACCAACTTTACATATTTGGTTTATGTGTTCTGCGCCATTTTTCACCAGAATCTATTTTAATTTCATAATGTAGCTTCCCTATCTGCTGGACTACAACACCAAACTTCCATTTTGCCTTACCTAAATAATTTCTCACTATAACCCTATCTCCTATGTTTACATATCTAGCTTTAGGGTTTTTCTCTACACGAGTAATGTTTGGTAAATCTGGTATCATTACTGACAACTTAGATCGTATCCTATAATTAAAAATAAGTTCAGCAGGAGATTTTTGAGTGGTTAAATTTGGTGTTATTCTATATTGATGTAGAAGAGTATTTAATTTCTGTTGAATATTACTACCATTTGCACCTAATGCTTTTAATTTAGTTTTTAACGTTTGGACATATCGCTCTGCTTG